TTGTCGTGCACATAAACAAAATCCTAATTACTGAAGAGTTGTTCTTTGGCTAAACTAATAATTACTGGGACTCTTACTGACGTCTTTCGGTGCATTCCGTCAACAGATAAGCAGCCGTACATCATTGTTCGTCATATAATGACATATTGTGAAACTTCCACCAAACGAAAACTATGAGACAAGAACCGAACTGGAGGTGGGTATGAGATAAGACGTATCAAGAAGAAGTCACTACATGAAAATTAGTTTAACTTATTCACCTTAACCTGTGAGTGACCTTCTTCAAATATCTCCGATAAGACAAACAAGGTCATCGCCTTAATGTAGTCGTTCATAACATTACTCTAAATGAGTCGGAAAATGAATTTAAAATTTTCTGCGTAGCATATAATCGTGGAAATAAAAGGAAGCATTTCGTCAGGAATTTACGCAGATAAGGGAGGGTGGTGATTTCCGCTCAGTGCATTAGATGACAGGGACAAATGAGAGAGTACTCCTCACCATCTATGCCGCTATCAAACATTTTCGCCATTTTGTCGAAGGTCGGAAATTCACAGTATTTATCAACCATAAACCCTTAACGTATGCCCTACGCACTACTAGAAACAGGTATTCACCAAGTGAACTACGCCACTTTGACTACATTTAACAGTTCACTTACGATATCCAGCACGTGTCTGCAGCTGATAATCCAGTAGCAGATGCTTTGTCTCGCGTATGCGTTATGTCGGTGCCACCAACCACAGATCTTAACAAAATGGGCAAACTTCAACTGAAGGATTTGAGCTTAGAAAGCCTGTTGAATGAAACCTCAATGAAGATAGATCGTGTCCCCCTAATGAACAGTGAAGCATCTGTTCTGTGTGATATGTCAACGGGCACTCCTCGACCAATTGTTCCCAGGCCTTTACGCCACACTCTGTTCAAGTGCCCTCACAACCCCTCCCACCCTGGTATACGAGCAAGGGACAAGTTGATATCGGCCAGATTTGTGTGGCCTGGTATCAACCGTGATGTGCGTAACTGGGCACGTGCTTGTGTGAAATGCCAACATTCTAATGTAACCAAGCATAATATCACGCCATTTGGGACTTTCGCAACCTCAGATGCCCGGTTTCACCATTTACATCTAGATATCATGGGTCCCTTACCTCCTTCAAATGGCCACCCGTATTTGCTAACGTGTTTGGATCGTTTTACACGTCGGCCGAAAGTCATTCCTATCCCAGACCTAAAGGCTCTAACCATCTGCTGTGTGTTCATGGAAGGCCGGGTTGCTCATTTCGGATGCCCCTCTAGTGTAACTACCGACTGCGGGTAGCAATTCGAATCAACGAGCTTCAAGGAGCTGTTAGAGCTGTTCAGATGCAAACGCATCAGGACAACTGCATATCACTCAGCGGCAAATGTACTAGTAGAGCGTTTCCACCGTCAAATGAAAGCCTCGTTGACGGCAGTAGATAACAGTAGGTGGACAGAGTCTTTGCCTTTAGTCCTACTCAGCATTCGTTCTACACTCAAGGTGGATCTTCAGTGCTCCTCAGCCGATTTAGTGTATGGTACTACACTCCGTTTACCAGGTGAGCTTATCGCTTCTAAAGCTTTTGAGCCAAATGTCACTGATATCACCTGTTACGCCCAGAGTCTTAAACGCTTTATGCAGAGAATTCGACCAATTTCCATACACACTCAAAACAAGAAAGTACACGTCGATACTTGACTTGATGAGTGTACACATGTTTTCGTGCGTCATGACGCTGTGCGTAAGCCCCTACAACCTCCATATGGCGGACCTTTCAAGATCCTTATTTGGAAAGAAAAAGTTTTCGTTATTGAGTGGTTTGGCCGCCAGGACACTGTAAGCATTGACAGGCTCAAGGTGGCGTACATTGAAGAAACTTTACCCTCCACGCTAGCTCATCCAAACAGCTCCATAGAACCTAGTCCTGGCCCAGACTCCACTATTACACCTCCGGTGGTGAATGATAATTCTCCTACTGCCGCCAGTAAAACCTCTGTCACACGAGCAGGTCGGCATGTGCATTGGCCCAAGAGATACACAGAATTTCTTCACTGAACGACTTCATAAGTAACGCTACTTAATAGTTCTTATTCCCTGCCACAATTTATGTTAGTCGTTTTTTTGCTATATTTGCTCTATTTGGTTTCGTTTCTGGCAGTAGTCATTTTGTCCAAATACTAATCCTTTTGATTTTTTCTCTCGTTACAGACTATCAGTAACAGTTTCATACCAATTTGTTCGTATTTCACCTCGAACTGCCAGCTAGACCTGTTGGCTTCAAAGTCGTCTCTTGGTTCACTCCACTTGGGGAATTACGAGCAGTATAGTATAATTCTTTACAAAATGTTTAAAAAAGAAAAAATAACAACTAAAAAAATAATAAGCCTAAGAAAAATTTTAAAAAAATAAAAAGCTTGCACTGTATAGTTAAATGGACCGTTATATATTTTTGCGCGTCACTACTGTGCTGCATATTTCAATTCGCTCAACCTGTTTTCACAGACTTTACTATGTCTACTAGGGTTATGCACTGCTGTAACTTATGTATTTTGTGAGCCGTACTTGTAATCGTTTTGCATCACTTTAGTTATGCAGCATGCAACACTTTTTTATTGTCATTGTAACTACTCGTAGCTATTGCTTATTTTCATACTTTTCTCTGCAAATTCCATAAATTTTCACAGTGATATCAATTTCCTTTGATTTATTTCATTCTGACTTATTATTTCTATGTTACACCAGTTTTGCTCACATTTGTTCCGCTTAAGCTTTTGTAACACGTTAATACCGATTTTCTCCCTTCTCTCATTCTTTTCTGTTTCTTCTACCTTGTTCCTTCTAATACGCTGGTAAATTTACTGCTTTTAGTATTGCTGCTAAGTGCTGTTTAAGCGAAGGAGTGGAGCATTAGTCTAAGACGCAACTTAGACAAAACAACAAAAAGACCCAAAACAACTTAGAAACCTGCAATCGCAGCAAGGCAACAGCGTCATTTCTTCTTATATTTCACCTTATCACACTAATCATGTACATAGTGGCTCTCAATTGCCTTGACCTTTTTCTTTCCTTTCGCAATTTTTTATTACTACCTTCAAACTTCCTTGTTCATTCAATGTTATTGTACAAAGACCTACTCTCAGTTCACAGCTGTCATGTGCTGAAGCTTGCCGGTTTCCCACCATCCTTCTAAAGGGAGAGGAGAAACTTGTAGTGTACATTGAACCTTTGAACTTTTGTTCCAACGCACTCACCCACTTCTGGCGCTACTTCATCTTTTGATTTGTAACTCTCCTGTACATACTTGGTTCGCCCTCTCGTTGTGCTTTCATTCAGCGCACTCTTCGAGCCTACCACCAGTCAAGGCAGCAGATAAGTTGTATAACACCTTTACTTATTAAATTTGATATTTCATTTGTGTAAAACACAACTCCGTCCCAGACACAATTCCTATCTCAAGTCTTTTTTACTTTGATTTCGTTCGTCAGTACTCACACGTTATAAAGCGGTGAAGTTTTTAGTTTGTTTGGTTATTTTAGGTCTACCTTATGTCCTGTCTAACACTTACAGGACAACGTAAATTCAACTAGTAACACATCTTCGACTGAGAAATTTAAACCAGGATCTTCATCAAAATGGAGAATCCACAGTAATCTGTTTCAGATGAAGACCCACTAGCTAGGAAGGTGTGCCTGAAGGGGTTCAAGTAGACAATATCTCTCTAGGATGGGAATGGCTGAAACATTTAGTTCGGCGCTTTCCAAAATATTTAAGACCATGGTGAGCAACGCATTTCTATAAAACACAAAGAGCCTCAGCGCCGTATCATCTATTGCAAGCATGATAGGCTCGTTTCAAATTATCACCACACTGACCAGTGGATGTTTCCACGTTGTGACGATGTTCGGAAATCATTTCTGAAAGAGTGTGCACGGACACTGCACTGGCCCTCATGTGGTCTGTTCCAAAGCTCCACAGACTCAGAGAAACTGCCTAGAGGGCAAAAGAGTACTATCCTATCTCTTATTCACAAGGATTTCCGTCAGGGAAATGAGCTGGGTTGTAGACCTGTAGTCTGCAGCGTTACTTCCAGTTGCATTAAAAGTATTGAGGGTTGGGTTATGGCGTACTAAATATGATGCCGATTATTATACTACACATCCACGTACTCACGTTCTACGATGCGCTGACTCGCGGCATGTACAAATACAAACAATACTGCACTAAGAAGCACAAGGAAATACTTGCAAAGATGTATTGTTAGCGAAATCAAACTTCAGAGGGCTCGAAGAGAATGAAAATGTGTATAACCACGCAAAATATATATGTATATTGCAAACGATTACCGATGTCCAATAATTCAATGGTAAACACGCGACAAACGTTTATAAAACTAGTTTCTGTAAACGTATAATATGCGTATATGAATTAGTTTTATAAGCGTACAGTTAGAGTTATTGTGATGGTATGTTCCACAAAGCACAACACTCATCCAACAGATGTGGATCATGTATAACAATGTCTGCATATTATGGTGAGATGTGAATGCTCCAGTTCATGGAATCTTCCTTGATTTTGTGACGACATTTGGCACTATTCAGTTTACCATTCCACTTCAAAAATTAAGCCAGACCAGTATTGGTTCACTAAACCTACGGCAGACAGGTCGTGAGACCAATCATGTAGTAGCCCATCAAAATTCAGGATCCTTACGTCATTACCAAGAAGCCAGCCCAAAGGAATCGTTTCACATATACTGACCCGTTAAAGACGTTAGACAATATATTTTCGGATTGCATATAATGTAGTGGAGCCCATCAAAGAACTGGATTTAATTCAATTAAGTTGATGAGTGAGAGGTCAAAAGTCACTGGTCTCAGATGAGATATAGGTCAATTGCATTTTTTAGGTTTTGTTTAGCTGCATAGATTTTCGTGTCTCTTTACCGAACGGTTTCAAAAGTGGCGTTTCGGGTGTGGGAATGTTTTCTCGTAGTAGTAAGTGTTTTCGCATAATAGCAGTCCGTTTTCTACTGTTGACGTATATGTATCTTGTTAAATGTCAAGCTGACGTCCACAGCTACATATTTGCCTCAATAAATAAAGCAGGTAAGGCATACATTCATGTTTTCTGCTGTGGTGTTTGGTTGGCATACAATATTTCTTAAAATTCCGAGTATCCATTAGTTGGCTTTTGCCTTAGAGGCTCTGCAAAGATGTTGATACCTTTGATTCAATGCAAAGTCGTACGTCTAAAGACGACTGGAAATTCTTCGTATGTTTGTCTTGAATTTTGGTTATTTATTTCAGTTTGAATTCTGGTTGAGTTTTGTCAAATAAACCGGATATTTGTAAAGCGAAGTAATAGATCGTTAGGTTAAGGAGAGAAGACGTCGATTAGAAGGCGACCCCAGTACCATAACTGAAATACAGCAGAATTAATGCGTGAGTGGTTATCGCTGTTAAAGTCATTATTTAGTGTGAGTGAAAACTCTTGGGTAATTATTCTGACCAGCTTATTTCCCCTCATGTATGCTGATTTCCTGTATAGTTCTTGTTATAGAACTTACCTATTTCTTGCTGACTCAACAAAAATATCTTTTTCTTCAATTAGGTGACAGACCAAAATATCCTAATGTATACTGTAAAATACACAACCCGAGTGTGAGTGAGCCATTTGTCAGTAATTATTTGGGACAACAATCCGTGATCGTTGATGCAGAGGTAGGTCAGTATTTAAATTGTACTCAAACCTGTAAGTGCGCTCCTAAGGTCGAGCCATTGTTCTTGTACTTTTCGCAGACGTCTACTTACCTGTGTCGACTGAATTGGTGATTATGACTTTGGTTGAAAACCTCTACCTAATGGGTACTGAAATGTGCTTTCATCTTAATGGATTTTCGTATGTGAATATCATTAAAAGTAAAATACTTGCGAACGCTTCACTGTGATGATATTACTGCCGTTTAGTCAATATGCTGGTTGCATTCAATTATGGTTTTCCTTCTTAATTGTGTTTGAAGGTTCAAGCAATTTTCGTGCTGACATACTTCGTTTTAAATGGAGGATAATCTCCAGGAAAAATATTATTTCCTCGGATATGAAATGGAATCTACTAATTAATTAAGCTAGACATCCAAATAAATGACAACAAAGTCATTTTTTATAACATCGTCCATCAAATTCACACAATACCAGTTTTTTCTACAGTCTACACTGAAATAGCCAACCACTGTAGTCATTTACATTACTGTCCTTTGTCTTTACAGTTTTCTGTGGTTTCTGCTCTCCGTTAACAACATTTGAGTCAACTACGAGTGAAACTGAAATAAAATTCGTTCTCTCTAATTTTTCTACCAAATGCCCCACATTTCTCTGTTTAGTATTTGGGCACTATGCGTTTCCTTGGCATTCAAACATTGTACGCACATTGCTAATTTCTTTCCTTCATTTGTCGACCACGTAACTGTGAATTGTGGTGAATTGTAAGCCTTGATAGGACCGTATTAATTAGTAGTTAATTCCAGCGATTAAGCTGTTTTGTTACTTTTTGAAAAATCATCAAGCTCTTTGTATTAATGCTGTTAAATGATTAGCAAGTACGAGTGGTACGCGTTGGATACGTCCAATTAACTATTAAACCACTGTATGGTGTCAGCTTACTTAATGAAAGGTGACCACAAAATGCTAATTTTTCCAGCAGTTATCTCCTTTGGTTATAATTTATTCGGAATATTTCCGAATCGATATACAGTAGTTGTTTGCTAAAGTCTTTCTGTGGGCCCAGGTTTGCATATTTCAATTCTCATCGTTTTATTCTCGTAGAACTCGTTCATTTGGTGACTAAAACAACTGTATTCATACATACATTTTGTTCACTGCTTTTGTGAAATCATAGTTAAACGTTAGGAAACAGACTCAAAGGTGAAATAGAAATTAGCAATTTTCGGCTTTAACTGTACTCATGCTTGAATATCAGTAATTTCATCCAAGTGTGAGGAGCTTGGAGATTAGTTTATTTCGAATACATTAAAAATCAGTAAAATTTTTCATTTTAACTCAATGCTTGATTACATTAATTTTTTTCCGATAGACTGGTACACGCAGAAGTAGCTTGGTCACCACCAATAATAATTCTTCAGAAGTTAAGACGATGATGGATCTGTTTCAAAGAGGGCTTGATATATCCCGTTAGTCGCTGGTATTTTTCTTTTACTAACCGAATCCCTGTTTTTATATATTAAAAATCCATGTACCAAGCATCAAAAGGTGATGAAGTATTTTACCGGATCACCATTTATATTGTTCGATGCAAGTTTCTTTCATTTGCCTATGGCGAGATTTATTTTAATATGCTCTAGCTACAACCCTAACAGTGAATACAAGGACTAAAAGGCGTTCCCTAAAAGTGTGTTTTCTGACTTCTCCTTTTCCTTTTTTCTCATTCCTTTGCGTTCCGAGTAGAACGTTGGGGGTTTCAGTAGCGCTCGTGGTTTAACGCAGTGAGATCGCCAATTTCACGCCCAACCGTTTTATCTCAGCTCACTACCGGCTAGGTGAGGTTAAGGACTTTGTTGACCGGGAATCAAACCTGGACTACATGCATAGCTGGCAGACATTCCCCCCCAGCCACCTACACCACTGACTTCAAACCAATGATAAGTGTGGTTAGGAAGTCGCGCTATTTGGTTTGAATAGTCATTACTTCTTGTAGAGCATCACTTTAAACATTACTTACATGTTGTTGTAGAGGATGAACCACACCTGAAGAATCTTCATGAATTTAGCTTGGAGGTAAAACACCGAAATTCTTCCTGAGAATTATCTACTCAGATCCCGTCTGTCAGTCAAGGCGTGGAATTGGAACATAAACGTCTTTTAGATCGAATTTTAAGTACTGATTGTTCTAGCTCATAAAAGAGGGAACACGTCACTTCACGATGATCACAAAAATTCAGATCTGTTAGTAATGTTTTTAGAATATCAGGGCTCATGACGGTCGAATATCCAGCTTGTAGATATCAGATGATGACAGACTTATGAATTGATCGTAGATGAGTCGACAAAATTGTGATCTTCATGAGATTTACATGATACAGAAACACTTAAGAGCACTCGGAGGTGATCACATTTTTTGAATCATTTCGGCGTGTCAGTATGTGAATTGAATAGTATTTGCTAGTGTCACACTAAATAGAATACTTTTCTCGTATACTTCTGCACAAAAATATGTTTACTCGCATTACAAGAGCTGAAGGCGACGTATATACTGCGTTAAAGTAAAGTAAAATAACGTCTGCCATGGTTTTTATTTCTGGCTTTAACTCTACTTCACTACAAATGTGCTGTTAGAGTTTGACTTTTCTTTTATTCCCTTCTCAACATTACATAACTTATTTATAGTACGTGAAAAGCATATGCATGTTAGTTGATGGTACTTAACAATTACAACCTTGTTGTTTCAGATCAGGTTTTCATTAGTATTCTGTGTGACTACGGGGTTCTGACCCACAATAACACAGTTTTCACCTGAAAAGCGTTGCATGTGTTTATGGACCAATGACTTCACGCGCCTAGAAGCTTGCATCAGTCATATCAAATGGGTAAAGAATGCTTCTTTTGCAATGAAGTAAAAGGATACTCAAAGACTTGTCGACATACCTCACTCATGGCATTGACCATATAAATTGCGTAAGAAGGTTCGCTTATGCCAGTAATCTATGTGATATGTTTGTCCACATAAGTCATTAGATCGCAATGTTAGCAACAGCATCACTGAAGTAACCATAAAAAGTGTGGCTGTACCCACCTCATTGCCAACGTATTTGTAGTGACCAGACTTGATTACTCTATTGACTAGTTCAAATTATATTAAGAGAAACGTTTTGTCTAAGTTCATTGGTTGAAAAATTAAGTAGAATAGTAAAATAATTGCAGGTCTGTGGTCAGTGTGCAACTGGATGTATTGAGTGATTAGAACAATAGATTACTTACGGGGGTGATCAGATATTGTCATCGAAAAACCCATCATAATTGCACAACGGTTCAAGTTGCTATAGATCAGTTAGAAGGTAAGAAGTGGGAAAGTGCAAAAATGTGGTATTACTAAATGTAAGCTGTAGGAATGAATACCTAGGTAGGTATAGTATGAATACCTAGGGGCCTCTAACCATCAATCCAGGTAAACGTCATACAAAATAGGAAACTGTAAGATCTAACACAATCAAGCACTTTCTTATTTAAAGGCTGGATCAGGATAGCCAAATTTTGTGTTATTCCCTTCAGTTAAACACGGCTATTAGACCCGTTGATTGGGTGAAGTAAAATGTTACCTGTTCTAGCAAGTAAAGGTAGGCACTCGGAAGTGTACTTGTTTTCAGGATACAAAAAATAGTAAAGATCTTTTTGGAACAGTCACGGCGAAATCTGGAGAATGCTTACTTGCCTACTATGTTATCTTCAGATTTGTGTTAGAATTGTTGATCGGATTAATTCTAATGTAATGGGAGAAGAGAAAATGTTTTTCGTAACTGGTACGATATATGGGCGGTCATTCTAAGTTGTACTGGGCAGTTTCTGGTAGTTAAATTGATGATTTTGTCCTTGTTTTATATGCTGTTGTATTAATTCCTTTACGTTACCAGTGGAACGTAGGGCTTCAGCCCAGAAGCTTCAAGTTTCGGTAGTAGTGGTGTTTAATTTTACGGGATGAGGTTGCTAGCCTCATACCCAGCCTTCCTTTTTACCAGTCTTATTACTGGTTTAGCGAGGTTAGGGAGTGTGTCGGTCGGGGATTGAACTCTGGAGCACATGCGTAGTTGGCGAGCATTTCACCGCTATGCCAGATGCTGCAAATTGCCGGCTCTAGGAATAACGTGGCAGTTTTTTGACGAATGATGTGCTTTGAGTTCAAGTGTGCGACCATACTCAGAGAGATACTCTTTAGGCACTGTGTTAACGTTTATAGTCCGATAAGACCATTTTTGAGTGCTCCACTGGTAACAAAGAAACATGGATTTGTGAAGTGTGTGAGTTTGGTTTTTTAAAACCACTTCTTTCACTTTCTGCATATCTTTGAATAATACTTTTCTCTATCCTGTTTTTCTCATTTAGGTTTGCAGCCATGTCTGGGTAATAGATATACCACCAGCGAAGAATATTCTTGGATCACTTATCAGGAGGTTTGTCTATACAGGATACATAAAAGATACTTTCTTAAGGTTGACGAAAAGGTTCAAGCATTTGGATCGGCACTTGTTGAAGTTATGAGTGATTACCCAGAGTCCGAAAAGTTTGTGGGTATTTACGGTCGAAATTCTCTACAGGTGCGTAATTGGTTTTCTTGATTTAAGCAGTTTACGCAGTCCTTTTCCTTTGCAACTGTGAGTAGTCTGAATTCCGTATGCGTGTAAGAAACTGCAGGGAACTGTAATTTTTTCGAATGAGTTTTCAGTTCTGGTGATTTTTGTGTATAAATGTAATTAAAATCTATTTTCCTATAAGTAGCTTTGATGAATTCGTTCTCCGTCATACTAATCAGTTATTTTGGATTCCGTAGAAATAAAAAGGTATTTCAATACAAACAACGTAGGGTAGAAATGTTATATTGTCAAGAGTTAAGCATAGCTACTACTGTCAAGTGACCTTGAACCAACCAGTAAGATCACTCAACACTACAAATGCATTCTTTTTATAATCTTCGAATGTTTCACCTTGATTGATGGTTTAGTTGGGGGTAGGTCTAGGGTTACAGTTGAGGTTATGGTTAAGCATGCAACAAAAATTAGAGTTAGGACGGAACTTGCGACGAAGATAATGGACAGCATATATGTGAAATGCTGGGCGTTTCGACTGTCATCAATAAGTTACATTCATCATGAAGTCAATCATTCATCAGAATTAGTGGATCCTGTAGCTGCTACTCATACAAATTCTGTTGAGAGATTTCGGGCGTATCCCAAAACAGCGGATCGGCATATCTATAGCTACTCCTATTAAAAACTGAGACTGTTTTTGCAGCAAACCAGTGACAGTTACCTTATATATATATATATATATACCCAGCAAGCATACTTTGATATTTACTATAAATGCCGCTTTTTACCTAGAAGCATATGATTTCTGTGGTATCTATTCTATACTGTTGCCGTCAGGTTTGTGTTATTTGGTGTGAATTATTTTTGAGTCAGGTCTTAAACTGAATCCTTCTAAATGTCAAACTGTTAATTTCAGCTTAAGATGTAAAAGACAGTTACGAGAAGCCGTCGATTCTCATGACAGTTGTAAGATTGACGACAACGATGTAGGAATTAAATCAGAAATTAAGTATCTTGGACTTATTCTCTCTTCTGATCTCTCCTGATCTTCCCATGTCTTAGCGATCTCCAGTAAAATATTCCGCCTGACATTTTACATTAAGAAGTTAAGGCGCTCGGGTATAACTCAACCCCTCCTCTTACAGTTCATAAACTCTTGCATCCTACCTATTCTTCTTTATTGTTCACCCTTATTCTTTCCTGGTTTGCTTAAAAAGGACTTTGTCACAATTCGTAGAATGCTGAAGACTGTCAGTAGGGTGACTGGTGTCCCAGTGGACCACATAGTTAAAGTCGTTGCCGATAGGCACTTGATTTCGTGCAATAAATTTGCAAAAGAGATTTTGTCTGACTTGGAGCATCCACTTTACCCTCACCTTTCACCTTGCATCTCCTCAGGTAGAACAAGAAGTAACTTATGAAAACTGTATGCTCGCACGTCTAAGTATAAAAATTCTATGATACCATACTTGGCACGTATCTTATGTGATGAAAATAGCGTCAGGCAAGAATTGACTAACCTTTTTTCATCTAGTAAATAAACAATCTCCTCCATCCATCTTTATATACCTTCAAGTTTTACTTTTATTATTTCTATTATATTTATGGTCCTGTTGCTTCTTTGTTTTACTTTCTTAATTGCAAACACCAACTTATCTCTATAACTGCTGTAATCTTTGTTTTTTCCCTCACCATATCATGTAAAGGGAACGTTATATTCAATATTTTTAATCATGCAAGGATTTGTATACCGCATCGACAATACTGTGTGAAACAAACCCACAGCAATTTTCCCTTGTATTATTATTACCTTGGCTGTTATCATTATTATTATTTCCATTTTATATGCTGCATGTTTTTGACATTACCCCTATTGTAAATGTGGAAAATTTTCTGTGTGATTAATTTCACTTATAATTTGAGGAAATTAGATGCAATATTGTTATTAATGCTGAAAATTCTATTCTGTATCACAAATGCTGTTTTTGGAATAAAGTAAACTATTATTATTATTATTAGTTAACGGTTCTGTGTTACTTTTAATAAAGCAGTTGTATTTGTGTTTTCAAAGTTGATGTAAGCATGTTTAATCGAAAATAAATTATTCGGTAAGTTTAACGGTTGTAGCTAGAAAACTTATGTCGTTAACTGTGTAGATGGACTATTTTGAATATTTTGTTTCATCTTCACTTATTATGGTCTGTACACATGTTTATATCTTTGTGAATTGTAACTCTTCTTAAAATGTTAGGCGTTGCACACACAATGGGTTTAAAACCTTATATGTAATACTTGGCTATATTGTTTGTTTCTCTGTTCATTTCAGTGGTTCGTTACACAGTATGCATGTTTCTGCTATTCATTTACTGTTGTCCCTCTTTATGCCACTTTGGGAGATGAAGCGATGGAATATATTCTTACTCAAAGTGAGCTTTGATTCATATATATATATATATATATATATATATATATATATATAGTATCATCTATTGTTGTCTTTCCTATATTATTACATCATTATTGTGATTGTTCCTTTGGGTTCTGAGTGGAACATTGGGCCTCAGAATCACATATCCACTTCACTGTATTCTCTGCAGTCTTTTTTGTTAGGCTCAACGAGTGCCCAGAAACTTTCATATCTCACCCACGCAATCTGCTCCACATCACACTCGGACGTCCAACTCACCTTTCCCCATTCGGGTTGCACTCGAGGACCTGTCGCGTGGTATCACTCAACAGTCTCCTCAGTGTATCACGAAAAATACCCATTTATTCATAAGTAAAAACACAGTTTTTGTACAGCGAAGAAATTTCTTTTCAACGACTTCATTTTCAAGCTGTACAGTCGTATTTATATTACAGAAAAGGTCATTAAGTGGCACTAAATAATTGCTCAGTCAATATACATATATGTGATAAGAATAACGATAATTAAAATGTTATAAGGGGTAGAGTTGAAGTGTATGTCTAATCCATCTCCATTTTCTTCTGCATATTTTTTGTGTGTTAGCTTCTTGGTTGGTTTAGTAACAACCAGAGTTTCTTGTTACTTGTCCTTCTTCATCGGTCATCTTATCTTCAGTATTGACATGTTGATGAAAGTCTTCATTAGCCTATTGGAAATGCTTTTCGTGACGCCCTCTCCAAGTCTTTGAAGCAAATAGAAGCACGGACTTAATATTAGTGTAGAAAATTTGAGTCTTGTTCCTGACACTAGGTGCGGTAGATATCTTATCTTTGATATCATAGTTGCAACGCTACTGTCGAGGTAAGTGAAAGAGATGATTTCTTCTGTTGATGGTGATTGGTGCCTTGTTGGTTAGTTATTACCTTAACTCTGTATTCTATATATTCACTTGAAGTTCTGTCTTCTGCCAACATGTTGGTTTTCGCCTTCAGATCTCCGAGTTTGTGTGACATTAGAAATAAATCATCATTGAAGTTCACATCTTCTAGAGTCGTTTCACCGGTTCAATGTATGCTCGTCATCTTCCCCCCCCCCTATGGTCTGTTGCATGTTTTGTGTATTTTATAGTAAAGTGTTATATGGGATATGGCTAGTGTTTTCTTATCTAGGTTAGTAGACGGTGTTATAAAATTTTGATTGTCATCTTAGATCAAATCTCCAACCTAAACTTCAAAAGATTTGTGCTTTGAGAATGTCTTGGCAAATGATTCCATTGCTTCTCTTAGTCACCGAGTATGTGAGTGGTGTTGCTTCGGTGCTGTTACTACAAGTGTGCCCATGTTGATTATCTGTTTCCCACACGCAACCGTTGGCCTAGTTGCCGTTTCAGCGAATTTCTTTCATCAGCTGCAAGACAATATATTTTGATATGTATTATTGTCTGTGAAGTTTACATTAACTGTACCGAGTGAAAAGTGGCCACCAGATGGAGACGTTTTGTGCAGACTCTCAGTTTATTTAACGTGAAACAGTGTTCATTTTTTCTCTAGCAATTAAGTTTGATATTGGTCACGCAAATAATTGAAATGATCGAAGGTGGAAGTTAGATTAGAATTTTGCTTTCGGTTTCCCTGTGCAGTGGTTTTTTGTTTGTTGTTGTTTGTACGATAAATATTCATCATGCCGTATCGAACTGCATAAAGTTTGTCATGTGACCTCGTGGGTATCATGACAACGTTCTACAGTGTGAAAATGACTTCGATTCCGGTTACTTATGCTCATATAACTTTTTAACCTCTACAGGTCGCTTAACATTATTTATATCCAGAGTTCCTTTTGAACTAACAGTGCTTTTAGTATTCTTGTAAATCGTTTATTGCTTGCTTTTTTACTAGAATAACTGGAATAATTAAATGTTCTGTTTCTCCAGGAATTCCTTGTTGAACTGCCTTTAAATTTGGCAGTCCACGTAAGCGTTTTCGGCTGTAAAATCGAAATACAGTTGAACGACAGACTGAATTGGTGTTGTTCTACTTTTTTCATTATGCATAGGATATCGTAAATGTCGTTGACTGATTTGTGAGTATTTTCTCATATTTCTGGCCTAGTAGCCGCAAATGTATGCACGAAATCGCAGTTTTAATCTCATTGTTTTTCGAATGACAGATTTCATGTTTTAAATCAATCCTTCCACAGCTTTAACCAGCCACAGATGCTGCTGTTGGTTTTTCTCCCGCTGTTTTGAACTTAGATAATGTGTGTTTTTGGGAAAGAATCATGCACAGACACCCACAGAGCAACCAGTCACTGTTAGAAAAATTCCCAGATCAAAGCTCTTTTTAAAGTCTGTTGTTTAATGCTAGGGGTAAATAGATCGCATGTTTGTTGAGCTTGTTGTGTCGAAGAATTTCACTCATTCTATGTGATTGAATTCTTACAAGTAGCATCAGTATTAGTATTCTATAATGTCTCACTGCTGGTGTACATAGTTGTGAATGGCATCTTGTTTATAAGAATTAGTTTTGCTTGAACACAGAGTTCTTATCCATCCCTTGCGTTTCCAGCGGAACATAATGTTTCGAGCTTGAAGCCCTGAATTTTAGGCAGCGGTGGTGTTGTTTTTTCCGGATTGAGTTGTTGGTCTAACTCCCGACTTTCTATCTTTTCCGGCCATGCTACGAGTTAGGTGACTTTTGGACTTGCATTGGCCGGGAATCGCATCACGAGCCATGTACGTGGTTGGCGAGCATTCTACCGCTTAACCGCTGACGCAAAATATAGCGTTACATAAATCGCATTTACTGGGTTTGCCAGTAAACAAGCTGATACTATACTCACGATTTTAATAATTTTGGTTTCTTTGCTCATATATAGTGAGTGATACAAATACATGTCTAACAATACCAGTTTATTTTTAATTCTCTTGGCATAACACTTTGTATACTAACTGCCTGTATATCATTTTGTTTACTGTTTAAAACTAGCTGGATTGATTACACTAATGTGTTATTCAGCAGATCTCGCTCTCAAAATTTTACAGAAATTTACATCGTCACTCAAAGTCATTATTATTGCTATTCAAGATCAACAGTTCGAAGATCTCAAAGTACAATATGGCTCCTCTGTGAAGTTTTATTCTTTCGACGAATTCTTGGTGAGTTTTCACGAATAATATCCTTTTGCTGTTAAACTAAAACTAAATAGATCCTCGTTTCAGGATTCTTGGTTATACCTGATTTGCACCCATGTGAGTGTAAGATAGATTGCAGTTGTGAGAAACAAGACATTTCAAACCATGTCTTGCACGTAATGACTGTATCTTGGTTCTCTATCAAATCCTACTTACACTAATTGTGTATCTTAACCTAAAGTTAGCACTCATTTTTATCGTCCCATAAGTCTCCGTTAAAAAAACGATAATTGGTGTCGTTTTATGGCCCATGCCCAGGTTATTCTATGACGTGTGCACGTCGAGCGACTTACATCATGAATATTCACTCACTGTTCTTATGTGACTTCACCTCAGACTGACTTCTGAAAAATCCCAAACTAGGACACACAGTTGACGAGTGCTCCCTGATTTTAATGGTTCTCTAACTTACGTTGGTGCTTAATGAAATCTTTCCTGAAATTATGGTATTTTACTTATTTCTAATGGTTTCATCAACCTGAAAATGTTACCAAAATGCCAAATGAATGTCTTAATAAGGCCTATAACACAATCTTGTTCAATACGTTTGTTCTTCGTAACTTGTGTTGTGTTATGTGTTTTGAAAGATTTGGTTCACGTAATAGAGTTTGATGGGAAAAGAGCCACCGTATAACAACACTGTCCTGGTGTTTTACAGTTATTATCGATTTGAAAGTGAATTTCTTGTCCAGTTGACATTAAGTAGAGAAACAGTAAAGTCCAAGAAACACTGAACAGTTGTCTCGAACTATTATGATACATTACCTCAGTGCTCACTCTTTAACATAACTGGTGAGCACATCTCGTTTGAGACATTCGGTAACCATATATTATGTGCATAAGTACCATTGTAAAGTATTCGTTGGATGACATGCTTTGCAAGCGTCCGTTGGAGTTCCTGTGGTAGGATAATCGCTAACCACGTGCTTAGTCCGGGTTTTGATTCCCGACCGATGCATACTTAAACGTTGCCCCATAAAACAAAAGAAATCATTACTGCTACTGAAACTCCAAAGCTCAAGACCGGAGCCCTGTGTTCCGCATTCTTTCTACATTATGTAATCTGTGATGCTGTGGTCCGGAAAATGTTCCTTTTTCCACATTTTTAGGATGTTTGTGTTCTATTAACGCATAAATTATTAATAATCCTTCCGTGTTTTTATCCAACTTTCCTAGTTTCGCTAGTGTTGGGCCAATAAATCATTTCTGTCGATCAGTTATTTTATCTGCATATATTCGATGATAAAATTGGATTGACTTTGTAGGAATCTAGATTAGGATCCTTAAAAATTTAACATTTCATCCCGTTTCACTGTTTGCTTTTGTTGAGATTGATAAAGTCGAAGAATTTGAATATGAAGTTTTCACCCATTGTTGTGGAAAGCAGAAGGTTGCCCGCGATGCGAAACATCAACTTTTTCAAGGTTTCACTAATGTTTATATTAAAATTTAAAATAAATTGTGAATATTTTGTAATTTTACTAAATTACTGTACTTTGTACTTTTCAGGATATGGGAAAAAAAGTTCTGAAATCGAAAATTGTAAGTTATTTTGTTAAAGATGCTTCTGACATATAATAATTGTATGCTTTTCCATCTTTGTGTAGTTATCTTTAGTGTTCACTATCTACTTTTTTCGTTTTGATGCTGTTGCTAACTAATGCAGGGGACATCAGTTAATCGGGTAGTAAACGGTTATCTAGTCATTAATTAACTGCTCTCCCGCCCGTAAATTACGTCGAAAATAGCTACTCTGCTGAATAATATATTAATTTGGTTTAAATAGTTTTTAAGTTACAGCCCTCGCACGTATATTTATATTCGTGGTCTATGAAAATAGGATCAATATATCAACATTTCGAATTTGTGCCATTTCAGATATTACTAAACATGGTAATTAGTTGAAATAACTAATCACAAAATCCTGGGATTTCATATTTCCTTATGCTCGAACTCAGTTGATTTACAGTTTATGAATTAGAAAATGCACTGGCATCTTTGTAGGGCAAGAACAATAGACGTTGAGTGAGTATATATGGGAAGAAAAATGGTTTTGTTCATGGCCTGATTACTCATTACAGATAAAAAGAACGACTATTAAGACGACAAATTATACAGTAAATTCTGTCCAAACAAAACAGAGTAGTTCAACATAATACTGAAAAGGTGTGATTAAGATTTAAACTAGTGAAACAGTCAGTTAAGATATGACATGCTTAGTATAATAGAGGGTGGAATAGTAGTTAAGCAATAAAAGATTACAATAAAGATAATGGATAAGGAAAAGTGTAGGAAAGGTGAACAGAATTAAAGCAGGGTAGGATGGAGAAAATGGTTAAATATAAGTAAAGAAATAACAAATTACCAAGTCAGTGCAAGGTGTATCACAAAATCCTTCCGTGGGCAAAGATTAGGCTTCAACAGTCGGATTGCTGCTACTTAGGCATATCCGAGTAATCTTCTATTACTGGTTTATTTACCACCCTGAAACCAGGGTTGTAATTGATGTGACGTATGTCTACTAATGTCACTGCCAGGTATTCCTGCACCTAATGACAATCTTTCTGGTACATATTCAAAAAGGTTTTTTGCAAAGACTAAATTTTTCCCACCTACATGGTACTACGAGCACAGGTAAATGAATAAATGAAATTGTAGTTAACATGATGTGTTCTCGCATCTCGATTCGTTTTTCTACGCGTGTTTTTTGTGTTATAGACTACTACCAATTTCGCAGCAGGTTATTTACTGCTATTTAACAAAATCGTGCTTGCAATAAGTCTTCGTATATTTTATCAACGGTAAATTACTCATTGAAGTTTTTACAGTACATTTGAGTTTATTGGACGGTTAGAACTTCCTGCTGTCTTTACTAGTTTTCCTTAGGTGAATATAAAAGTCATGTTTGTAGAAATTCCAGTGAGGTTTAAATAAATAACTCCAACGTTTCATCCAGGAAAGTAATCAGAGTTTATTTGGGAAAACCATTAAAGTTACAATTTTCGAGGCTTTCTATGAAAGGAAGAGGTCACATCCTGTATTCGATCTCTTCGTCTAAACATATCTAAGTTATGAATTGTTTTCATTAAGAAACTATTAACGCCTCATCACAGTCTGCTATTTGGCTCATCATGTAGTCATTTAACATAATATCAGAGGGTTTTGAAAATCAAATAAATCAGATTTTCCCAACAGTTCTGCCGTTTATGGTACTGACTTCTTTTGCAGAATTACCTCTGAAGCAATGCGACTTTATCTGTTATGCAGTGACGCTGAATTTCATTCAAACACTGTGTTTATTTTTTGTTTCAACTCGTCTTATTTTAATAATGTTGAATAACTGTGATTTTTGTTTCATTTATAGCCTCCTTCGCCGCAGGACCTCTGTCTCATATGTTACACCAGTGGCAGTAGTGGTATGTCTGAATTGCAAGTTAATTACATTTTTATTTCATTATGTATATATATATATAAATATATATATCAAACTTTTGAAGGAAGTTTGGCAACTTCAATTGATACATTCTTTTGAAAAGTTTTATGTGAATTTGTCAGCTACTTAGTACAGGGGGACGGAGTTCTTTACTGTGTTATCTCAGGATACAGTTTCATCGTTCTATAATAGGCTTTTGTATGGCATTTATAAGCACTTATTGTATTCACCATAACAACTGGGTTAAAACATTTACTGTTACATCCTTGCTACTCTAAACAACCCGTCATGAATTTGTAAGCGGTATACAGTAAGAAAGACGTATGAATATACAAGCAGCTGATACAAGCTTAGACAAAATCAGCAAAGCTGTGGTTACTGATATAGAAAGCGCGTAAATGAAGTCAAGTGAGCTGAAGAAAATCTCAGCAAAAGATGGATCTCAAATAGTTTGTGCAAATCACCTTTTAATTTTATTACTTATTGCTTTGCGTTTTGCGTGAAACATAGGGCTTCAAGCTAGAGCTTTCAAGTTTCGGTTCCAGTAGTTTTTTTTACGGAGTGAAGTTGCTAGCCTCATACCTAACCTTTCCTATTTACCGGCCTTACTGCTAGCTAAGTGAGGTTTACATGTGCGTCGGCCGGAGGTCGTACTCTGGACCACGTGGGTGGTGACTGGCGAACATTCTACCGCTAAACCACCGACTCAACTTTTTAATTTACTGGTGTTATATTTAACCAGTACTGAATTTAGTTTGTCTAAGGAACCATTCCACTCCAGTGTTTACTATTGTTTTTCACAATACTTCTTGGCCTCCCAAATCGTAATGAATAGAGCATGGTTCATATCCATGACCTAAACTCAAGCGTAGCGTATACTGCAATGGTAATACTTAGGTTATTTTTATTTTGTGTTATCAATTCGATGCATTATTTTCATGTACTAGTGATTACTTAGAAGTGTAGTGTTGTCAGAGGTGTTGATTACTGTAATCATGAATTTATTCACCTCACTGTAGGTTTTAAATTTATCCCCGTATGGGTTTAGGCTGGGATTTATATTTTCCTTTTTTGGTTGAATTTCACTTTCTATTAAGTGTGAGATTGTGATGTGTCTGTGAATATTATAAGTATTGTATTCTTTTATACGTATAAGCGATTATATAATGAGAATGGGAACACTTTCAAAAGTACTATAAAGAAAATTGTTCTGAAGTTTCTTGTTCTCGCTTAAGAAGCATTCATGCATCTATGCGTGCAAATTTATACACAGTGAGTGTGCGTATATTCATGGGTGTGCGTACAAGCTAAAATGACAGTAGTTAGTACTGCTAGCTATGTTGGTCAGTTCAAATGATTATATATCACCTTGTATGGTAGCTTGATCACATATTTGTCGTTGTCAGCGAAGACAGTAATGATAGTGCCCACTCCCGGGTGGTAAACATCTGTGAATCCGGATAATGACTCAAGTTTGTGGTACTTGAAGACAGTTTGCTTTTCAAAAAAATTCTCATCTAGCTGTCCAAAATTTAAATAAATAAATTCAATTTTTAACTGTTTACAACCACTGAGGACTACTGCATACTTAAATGTAGAATCATGAAGAAAATAAATCGACGGTCTGTTAAATAATAAGCACTATCGACTTGCAGTAGAAAAAAGCTTACTTAAATTAATTCATGATACGCGTTATTTTCTGTTTTTGAATCTGATGTAAACACAAGTCTGATTTCACTTCTTGTTTGTAATGCTTAACAAGTGTTGGATTACATTAAATTATATCAAGTACTTGGCATCACTGCATGTGAATTAGTTCAATTCTACATGAGCAATTAAAATCCCACAGTAGAAGAAAAATTAGAGAACAAGAATGAAATTGTAAATGAAGGACATGCACATGTTCTGCTGGTTCATATGACTGTTTTTTTTCATCATTTATGGGAATATTGTTTAAAATAATAATGCCAATGGAAAGATCAAATGAAAAAGTGTAGTTGTAAGGAATTTGGAGTGACATTACAGCATATCTCTACTATACCCCAAATTTGAATGAGCGCCACAAGGTTACAGTTAAAAACTAACCATTTCTGATGCAATGGGTGACATATACTAGCATGAAACCATGAAAATGCAGTTTAACTCTGAATTTCACCGCCTATGCATAATTATCAAACAGCATTTAGTGCTACAGAGTAGCAAGACTTGTTCACTGAAACTGGAGAATTTGGATTTCACTGTGCCGACCTTTTACAATAATGATTGACAATGATGGGTAATATATCATCGATAACTTTACTGGAAGAAAATGTCAGTGCTGATAGCAATTCCTATTCATTGTTTACTTCATGTGCCACTAATAGTTCCAATCATTTGTACTTAAAACATAATAATGAACCATTTTTGTATATTGAAATCTCAGGAAAATGGTTTTGCAGAAAAGATTGATTCACGCCCAACATTTTTCTGTTATCACACATCTGAATATTTTCCACACCCCAGTAAACATAAAAATGAATTCATCTGTAACATTGGACGAAAACTTACAAATGAATTAAAAACTAAAGTTTATAAGGTAATCTTATAATTACTGAATTTATTATATTTCGAAGGCTAAAACTATTGAGTAAATTAAAGTCAATAAAGGGCTGAAGGAATTCAAAGTAAATTTTACTGCATATGAATGTCGTTTGAAACGTATTGAAAGCTCAAGCACAGGGTGATAGTTGCATATTAATTTATAACTCGTCACTTAGACACACTATTCGAGGACAAACCCAGGAATAACTTTATCGTCTTTTCATTGGTTTGTAGTCTAACGGCTTGTAACTTCGGAATTCTAGCGATTCAAATGGATAGTCGCCGAAAAGATGGTCTAAAAGCAGGACGAAAAAATAGTCCTACGATCCTTTGTTTTCAATGATTCCCTAAGTAATAATTCTGAATGTGAGATTTATATGTATGTGTGCCTTATCATCTTTACAAAACAACTTCCTTAGTTCTGTCATCATACAAAATTTTAAATAATTAGATAGTTTAAATAAATTTTCCAGTTGTGAAGATCTCTTATCGAAAGCCGACCAGATAATCGCAGATAACTCACAAACACATTTCGTAGATTGCGAAAATCCTTCTCACATTATCAAGAGTGGTTGCTTCTTGTTAGTTTTAATTTTAAGTTTTTCCGTCGCTTTTCTTTAACAGACGTCATAGTTGCATGTGCTGGCAGTGAGACAGCAGTCTTTGTTATCCTTAAAATTAGTGCTTGGTGTGTGTGTGTGTTTGCCATAACTTGAGGTTTTTTCATTTTTCGTTCAACGACCGGAAAACCCTCTTTTTCATATATGCAAACGGTATTTACAGTTTATGTATTTTAATAATTCTGAGGTGATATTTTAGAGACATTAAACTATTCACTTCTTACTTCAGGTTTACCTAAGGGGGTCATGATTACACATGAAAACCTCGTGGACACTGTTTGTTCTACGATAGAATCTACAGAAGGAAAGGTAAGGTGCTTTTTTGTTTTTTCATCACAACTTGATTTGTCTTAAGTGAAGAAAAGACGCCTTCCATAGTGATACAAACGTGATTTATTTCAGACTAATAACTTTATTTTTTTAGGGGAAAGCCATATGATACGGTCCTTTACAAATGAGAATGGTTGAGCTCCTTTGTTATACTTATTTGCTTTATCAAGTGAAAATTGTTTTAAGGTTAGATCAACGTCACCGAATTGTCTGAAATGTAAAAAGTTTAAACTCATTTCGTTTTTATTTAATAATTGTCGCAATATATAAGTATACTATTTCCATATGACATGATTGATTGAAATAGTGATTTTCATATACTTCTTACCATGGAACTAATCAAGAATGTTAAAGACGATATGCGACTATTTTGCTAGGTCTTGTGCTAGTTAGCACTCATCAGCAAGGCATATCTGCATCCTCGAAGAAATTCATATCCCTTCTGAGATTCGAACCTGAGTCATCCAGTGCTGCAGTCAAAGACGTTACCACTGAGCTATTCAGACTCGATATTGACCTCCTGTAGGACTGTATTGGATATTTTTGATTGGACACTAGTCAGTAACTAGTGTAATGTGTTTAATCCTATCTTCGGTGCAGACTGAATTCTATCAGTCAAGCTTGCCACGTAGCCACCATGCTAGGTGGCTAGCCATCACGGTGCACTGTCAATTGTTGTCGTTTAATTGCTAATAATTCTAAATGAATGATGGAAATTCATTGAACTAATGAGTCAGTATGTGGGTATTGGGGCTAGACATTTAGAATTAGGCCACAAATAGTTGTGTTATGGACTAGCTGAAATTCCAACAGCTGAGTATTATATGCACATGTCACTATGTTTTGCTTGGGTTTAATTCACGAATAGTACGCCTAGAAAAAGTGAAGACTATCTGTCACTTTCAGCACCTGATGGTATAAGGCGTACGACTAAGCCATTCAAATGCATGGGGTTATGAGTGGGTTAGAGATTGAAGACGTTCATTCTAATGCATTTAAATAGCCTGACAATATGTCTTATACAGTCAATATAGCAGGGAATTCATATTCAAATGATACTTAAGAATTTTATCTTTTCTTTTTTTGCAATATATAGAACAAACCTAAATCCTTATAAATATTATTATGTTAGTTGTTTTAACGTAATTTTTCCGCTTAATTTTATACATTTATGTAGATTTACTGCAAGAATTCTGTGCACTTTTCCTATCTACCTTTCGCGCATATTATGGAGCAAGTTTCTTCTGTAAGTTCATGTTTTACAGATGAAGAGATGTACTTGAAAAAGAAAAATTTTCTTTTATAGAAATAACAACATTGATGAAATCTCCACTCAGTATTGACTTCACAATATATTCCAGTACTGGTCATGTTCATGAGAGTAGGTAGTGATGATGACTTAAGTTTTTTTTGTGAACGTCTGTTGCTCTCTGTAATGCTTTGTGACAGGTGTACATAATTACACAAAAACAAAGTGACATTAGGTGACATTTGTATACAGCATACTTCAAAGCAATAGTTGTATTAACTGATATTAAACCTACAGCATTCATTTGATGATTCAATAAGTATTTTAGACCTAAATAATGTAAACATTTACTTTCTTCGGGCACAATCTATCCAAGAGATCGTTGCATTGCATTCCTCATTACTTATGGTCTTAATAAATGTGTTGCATCTCTTTTTTGAAGTACTGACTTTTGCTGGAGTGTGTGTAAACAGGTTCGTCACCATGTTAACAAAAGCTAATATTACCAAATCAATCAAAAGCCAATAGAGTAACCCTGAAATAAAGTCATAATATGTCCATGATAGATCAAACACAGATTTCTGAACAAAGAATATTCTTTTTGATAATATCCGCTTCAGATTCCACACTTATATATCGATTAAAAGGTGAATATTAAGTTTTGTAGCGACGATTCACTAAATAAATGGTACAATTTATTTCTGGATTAACCATGTTTATATTAAGATACTCTTAGAATTGGATTCGAAGTAAATATGTATATGATAACATTTTTGTGATAAATCACTGTATGCTGTCAAAAGAGAATTTATTTCATTGTGTATTCAAATTAAATGAGTGTATAGTATAGGCGATGGTGTTGATGTTAACAGGAACAAATGATTGCGATGATTAAACTTTCTGGACAAAATTTATTCAGTCAAATTATTAACTTCATTTTAACAAAGTAGGGATCAAAAAGGATTGAATTAGACTTAATTTTCAACGTCACAAATATACGACAGTTCAAATTGTCATATTGTATATAAAAAAGCCTACTTAAAGGTGAAGAAAAAATGCAAATAAATCATATTGAACGTAAATTGTTTCCTCAGAAAAGTTGCCTACATGATACATGATGATAGTCTAATCACCCTGACATAACAAAGACCATATGCATCTGCACAACTGAGACAGATTTTATGGCATGAGTTCCTCGTTTCTGAAAGACTGCAGCAAGGTAATGCACACCTTTGTACCTCATTCAAACCAACATTCAAACGCATCATCGATTCAGTAAAAATATCTTTCGATGGTTTCATTCTCTGAAGCTGTACAATCGTATTTATATGCATAGATACAATCATTAATTAATTCCACATACTTAGGAAGGAGATTAAAGGTGATAATAATTTCTAGCTCGATATGAAAGTTTGAAGAGGTGAATATTGACTACAATGGGCGTAGAAACAAAATTACACAGGATTAGGAAATAGTTTTTTAACAGATGGAGGTATAAGCATGGAAACAAATTGAAACAATCGTTATTACTGAAGATGAAAAAAATGAAGGGAATGAAAAACTGAAACTGAGGAGTCAAACTGAACTAGATCCATGGTAAATGTAGAGGTTCGACTATTTCCCGTTTTTTGAAGCATATGGCGAGGCCTTCTCCATATCAAAGAAGTCGGAAACACACTGCCTTTGGTAGATTTTCGCTTGCTTTTTAAATGACTGTAAATGATGAGATGATGTGACAGGTGTTGACCACGTGTTCAATTATGGCGCCCCTGATTTAACCAGTGCCTGCTGTTTGCTCCTATATTGGATAATGTTCTCTAACACGTTTTGATAGGACCCGAGCAGGTGAACTGATATATGCACATTGAAGTGGTCATAGGTGGAAGTTTGTCCGTCTTATTGCTTAGAAGCAGTGGGCCGTTAGACAATACCCTTCTTGGAGTTGCTGCAGGAAAGGTGTTCTTTAGGAAACTGGAAATTTTCCTCCCAAGGATATCTACAGCTAAGTCTCCCCTATAGTCCAGACTCAAATGCAGTGTTTTCTTTGGTACTGAAGTATATTCCTTTTTTTGGCTTTGGTTTCATGTTCTTCTCCACGGAACGTACCGCGTATCCATTTTCAGCTAAGATACTTTTGAGAAATAAGAGCTCTTCTTCTAAGCAGTCACTGCTGCAAATTCTTCTGATACGGTGGGCCAGTGAGATGTTGAGGGCTATGTTTCAGCTGACACGTATCCAACTATAGATCTTTTCACGGTTCTGCCACCTTTTCTTGTAAATTCCACTTCCAGAAATAGAGTGTTTGATTCATTTCCTACTTCCATAGTGAATTAAATTGAAGGGTAGCACTTGTAAGACAATTTCATTCAGATTCGCAATGACAGACTGTAAAAGTGACGGTGGTATAGCTTTTGTACAGCAGCATTTTGTCTATTGTTGATCTTAAGATTCCATTTATCAAAATGTCCATGAAGCAGTCTGCCAAAAAAAGCCGAGGTGAGAGCCCATGGCAATCCCGTCTTTCTGTCTGTAGAATATCGTCGTTGAAGGTAAATTGTAGATTAAACGCAAATTTCAGTAACAACCCCTTCAGATAAGAGGTTGGTATTTTGATGCTCAAATTCTTCTCCTCCGTTTATTTGTAAAAGAAACAAATATTTTCTGTGAGAGGCACATTGGTAGTTAGAGATTCTATGTGCAGTGATAACATAAGTTTGCCATTGACATTCAAATCTTTTATGCATCCAATAAATTCAAAAGTATCTTGGAGAGAGCACTTACATAGTTGTTGTCTCACAGGTTCTAGCATTTCAGACAGCCATTTTGCAGTCGGATGGTGTAGGGATCCCGCTATGTTTAAAATTGGTCAAAGTGGCAGACCTGCTTTGTACACGTTTGGTAGACCGTAGAGTTGGGGGATAATTGATCTTATTGGTCTCAGGCGTTCAAAAAGCCCTTCAATTATGAGACAGTCGTTCTTCATTCTTTTGAGGACATCTGTCAGTTGCTGTTCAAACGATTCTGTCTTATTTTTGACGTCGTTTAGCCTGGAAAATTTGCTATCATCAGAGACTAGAGCTGTCAGTCTGTTGATCTATACATCTCTTTCTATGAGGACCACTCCCGACTCTTTATCTGGATGTATAATGATTAGATCTTTGTTGTTCTCAAGTCTTTTAGCCAATGTTTGTGTTCCTTTGTAAGAAGGTGTCGAACTTTAGTCTCCATGATTTGACTGCTCCTAACTCTTTTGCAAACTAAGCATGTGTCAGTTAAGGTTTCTCAACGGGGAAGACGATGGCTTGGCGCACATAACACGTGTTGAGTCATCTAAATCAATGTAGTTTCACAAAGTCAACGACTGACTTGTTTTTCTTACCTAAAACTCTACGCCTAACCTTAGTATTACTGAGCATGTGATACCTCCTAATCTGATATATGCAATGCCAAGACTTGTTGCCAAAGACAGCTAGTCTATTTATATCTTCGAATTTCAGTAGCCATATCGTACAGCCATAAAGAACTAACTAGTACGCACGTCCTTTGATGGATAGCCGGATATTATGTCTACGCCATACTGATGTAAGTTGACGAAAACCACAGCAATCAGTTCATTAGAGCTGATTCAACTTCCCAAGTAAGCGAAATCGTCACGAGCATTATAAAGGCATCCATCAATTGGGGTTGCTTTCAGAAGGGTAGAAAAGGAGGAAGTCGCACCATGTTCGCCAATAATTACGATTCTTGTCCATATCTGATAAGATCGTGAGCCGCTGATCTGGATTGTCTGTCAAACCCCACCAAGGCAGTCGTAATGCATCGGAAGTTGTTAACCGGACACAACTAACCTCTATTCCATGTGATGGACTGGCTGATCGCGTTTGCTCCTTTTCCATCCAACTCTAGAAAACAATGAAGGGTGGGGGAGCCTCGAGGATGACATTGGTAGTGCATGCATGACCCAACCAGTGAAACCAGTGTTTCGAGATGACATAATTTATTGAGAGACGATTTGCAGAATGTCGAAACATACTCCATCAGACCTCAGAATTAGTTAAATGATGCTACCGCCAGATGCAAGCAATTCCTTATCGGCAAGGATGATTGGACATGCAGATTCATTCGCACATCCTTAGATCGGAGAGGTCATTTTCTACAGGCATAGAGGAAGACTGAAGGCACGGAAGTATTGTAACTGTGGTGTTTGATGACTAGGCTAATGTGGCGACGATAGAAGAAGTGGTGGTAGAGGTTGGTGTATGCTGTTTGCCCTGGCCTTAATTTTGTGATTAGATTTGTCATCCGTTACACGTCCACTAACACCCACCTTGGTACACGAAGTTATCGACTACTTCTAACGGTTGACGTTCGTGGGTGGGAGCAGTTACAGGCGCCTATCAATCCTGTAACAATACTAAATACGTGGATGGAGCACAGGATATACCAACCATACTGAACCATTGCTGAACGGCAAGTGATTAACTGCGATTAGGTTAGCCTTTCAATATACAGTGATATTGTCTGGATATTCAAGGTGAGAGAGTCTTTTTCAGGGCAGCATATATACACTAACACCACCACCATTAACTTTCCTGAAAGCTGTTTCTAGAATTCCATGAATCGCAAAGTTGGAGAGAAATGGTGGATTTAGCATGAATTTGTATGAATAAGATAGTTCTTTTCATGTACTGTTTCACTTTAAAAGGTTTTCACTTCCTTTACATGTTGTCTAGATGATTTCGCCTTAGTGACTAAAAAAGTGAAATATGGCATATTAGACTAGTTAACAATTCACATAGGTCCTATGCTGTATACACTACATTTTTAACTACTACTTCGGAGGTGAATACATCTCCCTGTTTTTAATGATGATCCACTCACATCGTTCAGTGTACATCGAAGTTTTAACATGCTCAAAACAAATAGTCTCTGTGGTATGTGTTTAACATTTCATGTCTTAAAAACATTTATCGCAACATTTCATAATTTTCCACGACCACAATATCATTAGGTGTAAGATTATCTTTACTATATTGCTGCACTGATAGTAATGTTATTATTATTACGACATACTGTCACATATTGCATCACTTGCTTTATAGCGTTTTCATCTCCTATATACTCTAATTTGCTACTTTTTTATCTATCTATCTATCATACTCAACTATAATGCTGAGTGTGTCTTTTTTATCGTAATCCGTTTTTTATCACCTGCTCTTCATCTGTTATTCAAGTGTTACTTATAACTCAAAGACATGCTGAGAATTTCATTTCTTATCTCCATTTAATCTGAAGATGTAGACCATATTTTTGTTGTAAGTGATGTTATACCAATATCTTTCAACTTCAGTACGTCGTGATTATCACTTTTTAGAAATGTGAACTCAACTGTTCGCTTCTGGAATAACGCGATTATCTGTAAATTGTCTATACCAGTTGAATTATATAAGAAATATCTGTTCTTAAAACTGAAATCAATAAGATAATTATCCATCAGACTATCCTATATGTGCTGTAATATATGGTAGACCTTCAGCACTTGAAGAGATATCTAAGAATGTTGTGCACATAATCGCCTCAATTTTCTGACTACATGAGAATAAGTAACAACCATTGTGTCACTTCTCTTGGAAAAGCGTAAATAATCGCCTCATGAATTCTGTCAAATAACTTACCAATTACAATGATGATTTTTAGTTTTGAAAGTTATCTGGACTTGCATTGTATGAAACTTGCATGCTATCTTCAGTCGGGTCTGACACTTACAGGTACTCATAGACCAAAATACTATTCATCAGACAGATATTTTTTCTTTCCGGTTATGACATAAACCCACAGTACAACCATAAGCTCTATCAAGTACACAGACTATATTTCAGAAAAATGTGTTGCCTTCATAAAACTAAAGGTAATTTCTAAATTTAAAGAAAAACAGAATTATAGAAATCGAAAAGAGATAAGCAAAATTATATAAGAAGTGTCAATATCTTACTACTAAAAAAAAAACAGTAGTTACCTTGAATGTATATACTAAAATCAAAATCCTAATATTCAAAATCCCTTTCAAGTTCGGTAAAGGCGTCAAGTCGTAGGTAATGAAGTGAGCGAATAATTGAAGTTCCGTTTAAAAACTTCAAATTTTGATTATAGCTTGAAACATCACTGCATTTTTGGTACAAGTATGGAATTTTCAGCATATGTTATCGGTAGCCCAAATTTTGCAGGCGGACCATAGATATCAGGTGTGCGTCGGCAGGGGATCGAACCCCCGGACCATGTGCATGGTCGGCAATAGTCCTAACCACTGTGCTACCGACGCAGCCAGATATGCAGTATTGAAACTTCTTTTTAAATCTAATGTGCACATTTGTAGCTTAATCTTTCCCAATGATTTCTGCTTCTACATCTAAACTTCAGTATTCTATTCCTGTTAAAGTGGACTGAGTTTCCAGAAACGTTGCATTAAGTTCCATCACTTAAAGTTACCATATATCGAAAAACTTGGAATGAAAGTAGAGAAACATAAAGGTACAACGGACGAAGATGTACGGAAAAGATAATAAGTAAATGGAAATTAGTGAACACTTTCGGAATCCGGAATGTTAGAAATGAGAATTCGCTTATCTGGAAGAGATTTTTAATATATCAGCTTGAATCACACTTATTATGCGAAGGCTGACAATATTTTCCACATGCCCAGGTTGAAGTAGGTGGGGAAAGATTCGAACCCGGGATCTCCTATCTGAAAGCAATGTGTTAAAAACAAGTTATTACATATTCGGTGGTTGGTGACAAGAAGCTTTGGACCTAGGTTTCATGCTTGTTGGTATTTGCCAGTAAGTCATATCTGCAATCATGTAGGGACTGATATCCGAAAATCTGCACCTTAGAAGTTGCAGATACAACTTGCTGATGAGTGCCAGTGAGCTCGAAACCCAGGCGTAGGGCTTCCTGCCGATTACTACACACCATCTGAAATCAACACAGAGTGCATTGACAAGTCCCATAGCTGGGTGATTACAGTGCAGAGTTGACTGCTAGGATTCAGTCTGCACCAACATCAAGGACAAGATGGATTACCTTCGCTGCACCTTAGTGACCAGTAAGTGTACAAGGAGACACATCTCCACAATGATTCTCTGATCTGTCTTAACGGTAGATTCTACCTCAAAATTGGTAGTTTATTCGTTTAACAATAGCCACCATGTGTTTTAACCTCACTTGGTCCACTTTAATCTGAACTAAGATACGCCTTCTTCATCGTCATCTGACTCACCACTCGGTAAATTTTGGAATTATTCACACAAATGTTTAGCAAATTATAACAAATCCGTATTAGGTAACTAAAGTGTATTACTATACTTAATAATTTTTGGATATGATTTTGACAATGCGATGCATAGTCACTAAACTATACATACTGTCAGGAACACTTGTGCCACCATCATTCGGTGAACTTAGTCTATTTCTTCTATAGTAGATGCTTTTACTGACAATGATCTTCATTGCTGTCTGTTTGTATTGCTTACACTTTTAGTCTGCTGCAGTTTTCAGTGGTGCACAAATTGGATTCCTTACGGGCCCAATTACAGGTTTACTAGATGATGCTGCAGCTCTGAAACCTACCGTTATTCCTGTGGTTCCACGTGTACTCTCACGCATATACGAAAAGTACAACTTAGCACTCGGGAACTCATTTATAAAAAGACAGTTATTTAACTATACTTTTAAACGCAATTTAAAAATTCTTAATAGGTACGTAAATTATTTTTGTGACATAAATTCATAAGTTTGTATTATTATCTTTCCTAATATTTCCGATATTCAGTTTATTGTTATGTTGATGCTACTGAACTCTAATCTATTGATATCATTGATTCGATGTTATTTAGACATTTATGTTGTTCATAACACTAATTCATTCACTATAATATATATATATATATATATATATTACTGTAGAGCCTGATGATGAAGTTATCAAAAAGAGTATTCCCTGTTCAGTAACCATTCTTTTGAACATATTTGTTTCTCTAATTTTTGTGTTTTGTGGAGTTTGTGACTTTTACGAGAAGCACATACTTAATTTATTATTTTTCTCGATTTGTTCATTTCCCCTATTGGTATTTTGTTGTTATCTTACTGATGATTCATGGGAAAATCATATCATAGCACTATTCAGTCTGTTGAAGGCATTTGTTATTTCAACTAAAGTGGTTGTTTCAGTATAGAAGACCTGTTTTATAGACTTTAAAGAGACTGGACAATGTAACTTAGGTCTATAGAAAGTGGAAATAACTGAAAAGTTTCGTAGTCTTCTAAGAATTCTAGAGTCGAACGCATTCCAGACGGTGAAATTAGTTATCTCTGGTCCCGTAATACCGTGAACTACTTAAAAAGTTTTGAAATATCAATATAGAAGTCTAGACATCAGTTGAAATAGCATTGATAAAAAACCCGGAGCTAGTGAAAATTAAAAACTTAAAATGACAAGTCCTAATTATCATATAGATTTGCTTCTTCTTATCTTGATACCATTGATTGATACTTGACTGGTGAATGTTGTTTCCACGATTTCTCTTTAGTGGGAAAGTGAACGATGAAGACATTCTCGATTCATTGTTTTTCAAAAAACTTCGCCAGGCTCTTGGTGGGAGAGTGTGCATGATAATCACAGGTGGGGCATCAATTTCACCTGAGCTGTTCACCTTTTTTCGGGTTGCTTTCAATGGCCTCGTAAGTTTCCTGTAGTTTTCTTCATTCATGGTTGCGTTTTTTTTTTTTTTTTGCAGAATAATGGTTCGTGCTGCATTAGCATAGTTTTAATCCCTTTGTTATCATATTTCATTATATTAGTCCATTTTGCTTCTCTGTTAATCGGCTGATAATCACTTCATAATGTTTTCAGTTGTCAACACACGGAGTTATATTCACACTATATTTTAGAGTATTTAACTATTGTCCAAGCTATTATTTATTGTTTCATTAGTAATTCCCAATGTGTATTATGCGATTTCTTTAATACAGTTAGGTTTGACACATTTTGTCGTTAGGTTTGGCTACTACTGTGGTAAATACTGTTTGGAAAGTGAACTTCACATTTGCTGGGTTTTCCGTGTATACAAATAGTTTCACTTTCCATTTTCTAGAGTTGGCAGTGAGCAGTTGTTAATATAAGAGTAGATTCACTTTACATAGATAAGAAAGCAGTAAGTTACTTTGCATTTCTCGTAGTTGAAGACTGAACGAACCAGACTTCTAGAACGCAAAAAATTGTTTGTAAAGTGCGCACTACACTCTGTGCACCAACAATTAGTCAATGTAACTAGCCAGAATTTGAATGGTTTAGACTGATTCATCTCTTTGAGATCAGTCACTCGTGTTTAGCATCAGTCGAATAGATTGATCGTCGAGTTTTTCGATCACTGAAATCCCGGTTGGTGTGAACAGTTTCTAAATTCTTATATCTGTCAACTTGAACTGAAAATAGTCGTCATCACTTGGATATTAAGCTGTTTATTTATAGGCTGAGACTTTGGTAGTTATTTGATCGTTCATAAGCAACCAAAAGGAATTTAAACCACTTATAATGAGAAAGTATACTATCTCATAAGTCACTTGTAATTACATCGTCTTGATCTTTTACAGTATCTTTCGTCTATAAATATTTGGCTGCTTAATATAAGAAGTTTCTAGCCTCAGTAAATTAACATATCTGCAGTCGTTTAGACTTGCTTTATATGTCCTCTGTTGCAATCTAGTGAGTCCTTTTCCTTTTGAGTCAACCAGGACTGATTTGCTGCCGATTGCATCTCTTTTCAATATACCAGTGGAACTTATTAAACTATTTTTCATCTGATTTAGGCTAATAGTATTGCATTAAAATTTTTCGCATGTACTAATTATGCGCACCTGAGGCCTTGCAAGAAGGCCGAGAATTGTATGGGTTACGTTGTAACTTAAATGACAAAAGAAACTCAGGTATTCAAGTATTGGTTTGCAGGAATTTGATTGGTCACAGAATTTCACTGTGAGCTGACATTGGTTGAAGAACCACTGGAAAACCTGAGAGTACTAGACAGCGGTTTCATCCTAGTTTGAGACTCTTCACCAGCACGCACCCACTCAGAAAAACAATAGTAGATTTTTTTACTATTGTTCTTGTAATGTACTCAGTATAAACAATAAACAGTTGTTGTTGTGAGTCATATTGCTAAGCTATTCAAGTACACTAGAATGAAAGCGGTCATACTCAAGTTCTTTTAGAAATCTATGCCCTTGAGTGGTCTAGTAAAATGACTCATGCAATCAAACGCTCAACCAATATAACTGGGACTATGATTTAAATCATCACATAAAACCTGTAAATTGGATTAAAGGTAAGCAGATCTATGAGCAAAAATTGTGTCTGTATAAACGCTATGTAATCAATTACTAGCATACTCTAAACATCAAAGTAATACTATTAAATTTTCACTTTTATTTGTGTGGTGAGATCATTTGTTATCAGCTTTATTCTCTAGATTGTTTCAGGATATGGATCTACTGAAATTTCTGGAGTAGCTAGTTTAACTGTGTTGGGAGAGTGCCATACAGGTATTGTTGGTGCAATTACAACTAGGTTGGAAGTAAAACTTGCTGATGTCCCTGATCTAGGCCTGGTAGCTATAAGGGATAATAGAGGTGAGGTAAGAAATCATAAAAAATTTTTTTATATTTCTGTATAATGATATCACAGCAAATACTTCATACTGATGCAGTATAGTTATTCTACTGGGAGATAAACATTTATTTAAGAGTGGTTTTTGTATCCAAAACAGAAAGTATGACAGGAATTAACCTGCGAAACGTTGCCAGACGAAATTTGTAATCACGAGAAAATTTCTTAAGAACTTATCTTCATAACTATGATCCTCCAACTTCCTACTTTGTTCTGAAGTATTTTCTGACTGAAACCTATCGTAAGGTGTTTCTGTAGATAGAAATTGAGATTACAACCCTTACACAGTCTATGAGATGGTGAGTCTGAGGTAGGAAAGATTATGTAAGCCGTTAAATCACGTTTATTTAAGTGTTTCACCTCAGCATTGTGTTAGTACTAAGATTTAATTTCCTTATAATTCCTCAACCCTCGCACTTGACATTGTCGACATATTTTGAATATAAATATAATTAGAACAAAAATGTCTTATCTTAATACAATCTATCTCTGATTTACAAAAGTATGACATTGCTACAATAGCAGTAGATACAAAACGTGCTTCAAATAGCACAAAAACATACCGAACAGTATTAATGTGTGAGTTTATTATTGTTATTCGGTCCTTGCGTTAAAAATGAAATATTGAGCTTCAACAACACATCCCCATTTCACGCTGTTCTCTGACATCTTCAGCTGGCTCAATGACTTCCAACAAACTTTCACTTCATCTTTGCGTGAACACCTAAATGTTTCCCTTGGACCTATGCCCAACCTATCGTTTCTCATTGAGTATCGAGAAGTTAATAGAAATACGCCGTCTATTGGAGTGCTTTTGATAACTCCATTTTATGAACCACACAGAAGCGCTGACTTGAAATTAGTATTAAAAATTCTGATATTGTTCCTTGTGCTAGCTGGTGCTGTAGATCTCAACACTGATTTCAGAAATGCGAACGCTTGCCTTGTTTTCTCTATCCTGTCTGGTTTCGGCATCCTCACCTGTGCTGCCTGTCTGTAGTTGAAACAATACTGTCTATGTAAGTGAACAAGATGTCTGTTTACATTCCTCCCGTTGATGGTGTTTCTCGTTTCTTGTTGTCAGTTGGGTATCTTCATCACCTCTATCTTTGCCACCTCTTCGGCCAAATTGTTGGTTTTCGAATGTAAATTTTTGAGTTTAAGTTGCACAAAACACAAATCATCTGGGAAGTGCAAACATTCTAAAGTATTTTTGTTGGTCCAACGTATATCTGTCGTCTCACTCAACGGTTTACTGCATGATCCAGTCCACCACAATCAACAATATCACTGGTGATAGTAGACAGCCTTCTTCTGTCTTTGCTTCGAAGGATATGGTGAGCCCCCCGTTGTCAATTGCTTGGCATGATGCATCATCATATAACTGCTGAATGAGGTTTATTAGTGTTTCTAGGGCACTGCACTTCATAGTGCTGTTCCCAAATTAATTCTCAGACGACGCTGTCGAAGGTCTTTGCAAAGACGACACAGTTTTAATGCACAATTGTTTGTCATTCAGTCCTGCTTTCAATAATGATGAGTATTTTTTGCAATTTGACTTTCTCATGACTTGTTTTTCTTGAACACAGCTTATTCCGGCCGAAGTCTTCCATCCTGATCATCTTTTAATCTTTCCACGTTAATACTGCTTAATATTTTGCTTGGGGTGAGCAGGAGCATGATTAGATGCAAGTTCTTGCTCGAGTTTAAGTAACCGTTTTTCTGTAGTTTTCTTCCAGTCGGCAGGTACCATCCCTTACTTCCTCACTCGGTGAAATGGGGGCGGCAGTATGTTTGCTGAGGTCTTTACATCCGTTTTCAGTACTTTTGAATGAATTAAATCCGCTTTCCCTTTTTCAGTAACTTTTTGACCTCCAAGACTTATGCTTTTGTCGGAAGATCTGTTTGTATTGCTTTTTCCGTGTCCGTTAGTGATTTGTCTGTACAATTAGTTGTTAGTGCTTAATACATATGTCCTTCCCTCGGAAAGCGGCCTGGTGATTTAATACACCACCAGTAACATTTTCTACTTCAGTTGTCATTGTATCATAAAAGCTTTTTTTCTTTTCTAACACTTCTTGGTTCTATGTTGAGGATTTTGCTCAGATTCTGTTTTCGTTGTTGATTAATCTTGATCAGTATTCCCTTCTCTATTAGCTAACAATTGTCTATAGCCAGCCATTCATTGTCTTGCCTTTTCTGGCTTACTAAAATGTCTGCTTTCTACGTAGATTTTAAAGAATTTTAATACTCTTTCATGCGGGTTTTCTTGGTGATGTTGCTTAATGTCTCTGACTTTGTTTTATGACTGTAGTGGACATGTTCAGCGTAGTTTCGTTATTTAGTTCCTGACTTTGGACTGTGGCCTATCTCCAGCTTCTTTGAAGGCTTTCAAGTCTGTGTTAAAGTTTTCGTGCACTAGATAGCGATCTGAACTATTATCTGCTCTTTTTCTTGATCTTGTGTCCAGCTGGCTGCATCTCGACCTTTTAGAGCCTAAGATGAAGTCTCTGATTTTCAATTTGTCCATCAGGTGGAATTGATATCGCTTTATCTATCTTTGTGATTCTGTACGTTGCTTTCAATCACCAAATTACAAACTATCCGTATGTATTCAAAGAGTTGTTCGTTCTCATTCATTTCACTGAATCCTTGTCGAACCATGATGAATTCACTCACTGTATTTTCTTCTCCCAGTTTGGTAGGCATTTATAACAACTATTACAATTTTGATATCGCTATCTTCCTATTTTTAACCGGTTTTCATTCCATTCTAGATATGCGTCAAAGGGAAAAGGTGTACTCAGGGTTATTACAAAGATCCACAAAGTACTGCTAATCTTATAGATTCTGATGGTTGGTTGCATACTGGTGATATTGGTGAATGGACTCCAGTAAGTTTCAGCGTGATTTAATTTACAGTTTTTACATAATATCTATTCTGAAATCACTGTCAGGTTAAGAGAACCCATGTAAATACTGTTGACAATTTTAGTTTAGCTATAGAATAAATGTAAATGATATCAATAAACATGAATAGTTTGAAACATTGATATGAGTAAAACTTAGGTGCTGTGCTAGAGTATAACTACTTTTTATCTAATAAATGAATTTGAGCAAAGCAATAACAACACATACTGCAGGACAAAATAGATCCACTGTTTATTTCGTTGATATCGTGTCAGCAGCATGCTACCTAAATGATGATATTATAAATATAATTAAAGTTTTAAAACACTTCGGTACCCTGGAGGTAAAGTGTGAGAGTAATTAGGAAGGATCATGGTAATCCTGTCCTCCGTATATTTGTAAAAAAAACAAATTTTTTCTGTGAGAGGCACATTGGTAGTTAGAGATTCTATGTGCAGTGATAACATAAGTTTGCCATTGACATTCAAATCTTTTATGCATCCAATAAATTCAAAAGTATCTTGGAGAGAGTACTTACATAGTTGTTGTCTCACAGGTTCTAGCATTTCAGACAGCCATTTTGCAGTCGGATGGTGTAGGGATCCCGCTATGTTTAAAATTGGTCAAAGTGGCAGACCTGCTTTGTACACGTTTGGTAGACCGTAGAGTTGGGGGATAATTGATCTTATTGGTCTCAGGCGTTCAAAAAGCCCTTCAATTATGAGACAGTCGTTCTTCATTCTTTTGAGGACATCTGTCAGTTGCTGTTCAAACGATTCTGTCTTATTTTTGACGTCGTTTAGCCTGGAAAATTTGCTATCATCAGAGACTAGAGTTATCAGTCTGTTGATCTATACATCTCTTTCTATGAGGACCACTCCCGACTCTTTATCTGGATGTATAATGATTAGATCTTTGTTGTTCTCAAGTCTTTTAGCCAATGTTTGTGTTCCTTTGTAAGAAGGTGTCGAACTTTAGTCTCCATGATTTGACTGCTCCTAACTCTTTTGCAACCTAAGCATGTGTCAGTTAAGGTTTCTCAACGGGGAAGACGATGGCTTGGCGCACATAACACGTGTTGAGTCATCTAAATCAATGTAGTTTCACAAAGTCAACGACTGCCTTGTTTTTCTTACCTAAAACTCTACGCCTAACCTTAGTATTACTGAGCATGTGATACCTCCTAATCTGATATATGCAATGCCGAGACTTGTTGCCAAAGACAGCTACTCTATTTATACCTTCGAATTTCAGTAGCCATATCGTACAGCCATAAAGAACTAACTAGTACGCACGTCCTTTGATGGATAACCGGATATTATGTCTACGCCATACTGATGTAAGTTGACGAAAACCACAGCAATCAGTTCATTAGAGCTGATTTAACTTCCCAAGTAAGCGAAATCGTCACGAGCATTATAAAGGCATCCATCAATTGGGGTTGCTTTCAGAAGGGTAGAAAAGGAGGAAGTCGCACCATGTTCGCCAATAATTACGATTCTTGTCCACATCTGATAAGATCGTGAGCCGCTGATCTGGATTGTCTGTCAAACCCCACCAAGGTAGTCGTAATGAACCAGAAGTTGTTAACCCATGTGATGGACTGGCTGATCACGTTTGCTCCTTTTCCATCCAGCTCTAGAAAACAATGAAGGGTGGGGGAGCCTCGAGGATGACATTGGTAGTGCATGCATGACCCAACCAGTGAAACCAGTGTTTCGAGATGACATAATTTATTGAGAGACGATTTGCAGAATGTCGAAACATACTCCATCAGACCTCAGAATTAGTTAAATGATGCTACCGCCAGATGCAAGCAATTCCTTATCGGCAAGGATGATTGGACATGCAGATTCACCGCACATGCTTAGATCGGAGAAGTCATTTTCTACAGGCATAGAGGAAGACTGAAGGCACGGAAGTATTGTAACTGTGGTGTTTGATGACTAGGCTAATGTGGCGACGATAGAAGAAGTGGTGGTAGAGGTTGGTGTATGCTGTTTGCCCTGGCCTTAATTTTGTGATTAGATTTGTCATCCGTTACACGTCCACTAACACCCACCTTGGTACACGAAGTTATCGACTACTTCTAACGGTTGACGTTCGTGGGTGGGAGCAGTTACAGGCGCCTATCAATCCTGTAACAATACTAAATACGTGGATGGAGTACAGCATATACCAACCATACTGAACCATTGCTGAACGGCAAGTGATTAACTGCGATTAGGTTAGCCTTTCAATATACAGTGATATTGTCTGGATATTCAAGGTGAAAGAGTTTTTCAGGGCAGCATATATACACTAACACCACCACCATTAACCTTCCTGAAAGCTGCCTGCAGATTTTCGAAGTACAGTTGTGGGAATGGGTTATCCTGTCTAATCCTAATATTGTCTGAAAACATTTCTGCTAGTTGGTTGTATGTTTTGACTCTACCTGAGATGTTTCTGCATAGAGCTTTCACGATATGAACAAACGTCTCAGAAACATCTCTAGTTAACTTACAATTCAAAATAATGTTCATTTTGAAGCTTCGAAGGCAGACCTATTATCAAAAGATTTAACAATTGTTAGACTACATTACATGTATTCAAGCAAGGGATGAAAAATGAACGCATGAACTACTTCGCCAGTCCGATAGTGAAGAGAAAATCAGACGGTCGAATAATCAGCAAGGAACTCTTCCTGTCATTAAACTAACCAAGATTTACTACCGAAAGAATATGCAGAATGATTTAGATGTATTGAACATATGTGGAGGAGACCGTTGATTGGCATCAGAAATCAGGCTAACAACTGGAAATGCAGTCAGTATCGATGATTTTTCACGTCTGAGTGTGACGTATAAGAGATCATGCGACCTTGTGTGTCGTGTAGCGGTTTAAAAGTGGTGGCAGTTAAGCGTATGCACTGAAACTGTATGCCCCACTTGAGGTTCAAAGAATAAAGAATAGTAATGTGTGTAAACTGTCTGCACGCGTGACTAACAGCAAATAATTTAGGTGACTTAGTACTTCGTAATGTATGTACTTCTGGTTGTGAATAAAATTTCCCAGTGATATAAAAATAAGATATTTTTCGTTGTTATTGTTCTAAAGGTGAAGTATTAGCATTTAAAATAATTAGATTTTATATCCTAGTGTTTTGAGGAATAATTCTAACCAAAAAGCGTTGTTTTGCAGGAGGGTGCTCTAAAAATTGTTGATCGCGTAAAAAGCATGTTTAAATTAGCACAAGGAGAGTACATAGCTCCGGAAAAACTAGAGATGGTGTATCAGGACTGCCAGGTGATTGATCAAATTCTCGTTGATGGAAAACCAGAACAAAATTTTCCTGTTGCTGTTGTAGTTCCGAATTTCCCGGTTCTACGCTCCTACATACAACATTCGCCCATGTCTGAGAGTGATGCAAATGACAGCGAATTCCCTATCCTGGAAACTCTAGATGCTAATCAGTTATCTGATGCAGATTTATGTAAAAACAAACGAATTATCCGATTAGTTTTACAGAAAATGAATAAAATCGCCACAGAAAAACAACTAAAAGGCTTCGAGAAAGTAAGTTCCTATTCAATCTTCCCAATTCTTCACAACATTTTAACGGGCTAATGATGGGTGTCTGAAATAAGAATGTAGTTTATTAACTCAGGTGTAGGCTGACTTGAATTTTCGGTGACACTCATAAGCTGTTCTAGTGATGAAAGCGAAATGTATAGATCAAACAATTGTGAGATACGTTATACACTTTAGATCAGCTGTTTCAGGCAGCTAATGATAGTTGAATCAGTTTGAAAAAGAATCCCAAACAGAGAACCGATTCATATGTCCAAACCATGTTCACGTTTTTATAGTTTGAAAATATTTGGGCATTGGGTATGTGATATTCGTTATAATAGAAGTTTTTGTATTTCTCAATGAGTGAAAAACAAAACTATACTGTTCTTACTGACGTTCCGCTATTTAATGGTAATAGTAATAATAGTAAATCAAGAAAATCACGAAGGAGCTTTCAAGCAACAGTTTTGACTACATAAGATATATATCTTATAGGTGTACAAAATAGTTGGCATTCATCAGCTAATACATACAAAATACTGATTTTGTTGTAAGTGAAAGTTTTAGCTGCGATATTAAGACTTTCAGGATGTATTAAACGTCCGCTCGTTTTGTTGAGATTTCTACTTTTATACGTTGAAGTCGAATCGGCTTGGATATTTATTATTACTGTGTGTGTTGATCAAAGGTCCGTGACGGTGTAATTCTGAATTCGAATTTAAGAATATACACCACGCCTTAAGGCACTTTCTCGTGCATATTGCTTTTTCTTATTATTACTATTTTTTCAAGATGGTTGTGAATATAGTAAATACTAATTAGCAGCCTACACCATTTATCTACTGATTATTTGTTTTATAAGTTTACTCTTATTATCCACTTATAAAATTCTAATCCATTTTAGGTGAAATCCATCTACCTAACTGATCAGATGTTTACGGTTGAAAATGGATTGCTAACACCGACTATGAAGTTATCACGACAAAAAGCACGTCAACATTTCAAATCTGTCATCGAGATGTTATATGCAGAAACAGACACCTTGGATACAAGTTAGTGGAAACGATATTATTAGTAGACTGACGATTTTATTTGGAAAGGATCATTCGCACAAAATCTACGAAAAATGGTATATGAACACTTGGAAAACAAATGATACAGGATAATGTTCATCATTTATAATTTCAATGATTTTAAACACCATTAATTTCTGTATATCCTACATACAACTAATACATTATATTTTGTCTTTATATTCTATAGACGGAAATTAGTGCTCCTGCCTGCTGCTGCTGCTGGATTCAACATAGAACTTGGCACCGAAGTGCAGCAGTTCGAGTTGCCACGTTCCAAATAGCACACAAAGGTAGACAGGAAAATGAGAGAAGAGAATCAATAGAATTTAGATAAGTATAAGAGTGAAACAGAATGCGTATTGGTAGAAAGGAATATGAAGGTTAAAGAGACTGAATACATCTGCGCCATTGACAACGATTTTGAGCCATGTCACCTATTGTCTCTAGCCATTGATTCTTAGAGTCCCGAGGGCCCCAACTCGGAAGTCTGCATCTCCCTACCTGACTCAGTTTAACTGTCAGGGATTTCATGGATTGATGCCATGTTTTTGTTTGGCCACCACTTACTCTATTCCAACCTGCACCTATATCAGCTAGTAATGCCCGTCGGGGGAGACGATGGTTAGGCATGCGCAGCACGTGGCCTAACCATCTCAATCTATGTAACTTCATAGCCTTTTCGAGTGATTTTCCCTCTTTGCCCAACACTCTACGCCTAACGTCAACATTACTTACCTTGTTATACCACGTAACGTGGGAAAGAGATCGTAGACATCTATGATCAAAAACAGTCAACTTTTTCATGTGTTCAACTCGTATTGGCCATGTTTCAGAGCCATAGAGAAGGACGGAGCGAACTGCTGAGCAGTACACACGTCCCTTGGTTGATAGCCGGATGTCACGTCTACGCCAGAGATGGTGTAAGTTAGCGAAGGCAGCTTGAGCTTTTTGGATCCGTGCTGAGATTTCGTCACCAATCAATCCGTTGGTGCTGATACAACTTCCCAAATAGGTGAAGTGGTCAACATGTTCTAGCACTTCACTCCCTATCACTAAGCTAGGAGTTGACGTAGTCCAGTCATTCCTGTAGCAGCATCTTACATTTTACAGGGGCGAATCGCATGCCAAACATACGAAGATTGCTGCTCAAGGTGTTTTAAAGAGGTTTCGCGTGCTCTTCGGGTTGTGAGGGCGATTGTTACTTCCCGGCTGCCCACACCGTGGAAGTTGGTTGCGCGACTGCAGAGCCCAGGGGACAACTGCTTGAGGCTGGTCACACGCGGCCTGTTTTTGTTTGTTGTGTCTCAGTAGCATATTTGTCAGCGTCCTCCCCTAACAGGACTATGTCGTCTGCGTATTCTAAGTCTATAAGACTATTCCCTGGTAACAAGTCGATTCCTAAGTCGTTAAGTTCAGTTACGGATACTTCCATTAGCATATCTATGATGAAGTTAAACAGAGAAGGGGAAAGTGGACATCCTTGACGGACACCGCTGGTTGTTATGAATTCAGATGACAATTCCCCATAAGCCCTTACACAGCTACGTGAGTTTGAGTAGAGTGCCTTGATTAGTGCAATGTACTTTCTTGGCACTCCCTTCGTAGTCAAACATTGCCATAGTACCTCTCGATCCACGGAGTCGAAGGCCGCCTTCAAGTCAAGAAATATGGCAATTGTTGGACGCCTAAAAGTGTGCCTATGTTCTAGGACCTGTCGGAGAGTGAAGATATGATCTATGCACCCTCTACCTGGCTTAAAGCCCGCTTGATTTTCCCTCGTTTGTTCCTCCCGAATTCGGCTTAGTCTGTGCATGATTACTGAGCCTAGGATTTTAGAGACTATGTTCGTTAGGCTGATTCCTCTATGATTATCACATGAGGACTTATCTCCCTTCTTGAATACTGGTATAATAAGTGACTTACCCCAGTCTGATGGAACCGTCTCTGATTCCCAGACGTTACCTAGTACCTTAGTTAAACTATATACTAGTATGTCACCCCCATATTTAAACACCTCCGGAATAATTCCGTCGGCTCCTGCCGCTTCGCCTCGTTTCAAATTACAGATAGCTTTGATGACCTCACTTACAGACGGCGGGCCAGTGTCTATATCCCATTCGGGTGTGTGCTGGATGGCGAGGAGGCTCAGTGTGGCTGTAGGCAAGTTAAACTGTTCCTCTATCCTGAGAGCTAATTAAGGAGCCATTTTTCTCAGAAATAGTCTCACTTATGATTTGCCTTCTCCCACCCGTTTCCCTGATGAGTCTAAAGAGTTGCCTAGTGTTGCCTATAGCCGGTGCTTTTTCCATCTCTTTCGCCTTTGTCAAACACCACTGTTCACGGTCCTTGCGGAGACTTTTCGTAAGTTTCCTTTTGTGCAGCTTTCGCTCCTCATTGAATTCGGAGCTCGCCGGAATAAGTCTTCTAGCATCTATCAGTTCGGATGAGGCAGTCGAAATCCAATGGTTTTTACTCACCTTTGGATTTACCTTATTCACAGCTTTTACAGCTGTATCTATGGCAGATTGAATATTCTTCCAGGCTTCTTCAGGGTGAGCGCAGCTGTCGAACTCAGATATGTGTTTAGCTAGTTCTTCCTCAAATAGGGACTTAGTTTCCTGATCGAGCTGGGGACGTGATGGGTTTACCGCTAGCTGTTTCCTACGTCCGTTCAGTCGTAAGCACATACGAGCGCGGACCAGTGCGTGATCGGTATCTACACACGTGTTCCAGAAGGAGCGACAATCTCCTACCGACCCACGCCAACGATAGCTTATTGCTATGTGGTCTATTTGTGTCCAGCGTTGGTTTGATGATGGAGATCGCCAGGTCAAACAGTGTCTCTCCTTGTGTTTGAAGTTAGTGCTTACAAGAAACAAGTGATTATCTAAACAGAACTGTAGGAGACGGTCACCGTTGTCGGTTCGCTGGCACGGAATTCCGTATGTGCCACCGACATTCTTCTCAGATTGACACAATTTCCCTACTTGAGCATTAAAGTTACCAGCTAAAACGACTATATCTGAGCGTTTAGCCTTTCGCAGCAAACTAGACAGCTTTTGGTAGAACTCATCCTTTGTTTCATCCGAACTGCAGTCAGTGGGGGCGTAGGCGGAGATTACGAAAAGGCATCGGCGAGTAGTGCAGTTCTTTCTCCTTTTCACTGATCCGTTCAGACGGACAGCACACATTCGGCTATCTACCGGGATCCAGTCAAGTAATGTCTTTTCTGCCCTAGTACTCAGAGCTATCCCAACACCAGCTAATCCTCGTGAGCTAGCCGTCTCATCTCCTGACACCCTCAATGTGAATTTTGCAGATTCATCCTGTTGGCCAGGTGGGGTTAGGTGAATAACCACACTTGGGTCCTGTATGCGTGTTTCTGAAACACAACATACATCAATGGCTCGGGATGCCAGAGTCTTGGCTAGTGATGCCTGTTGTCCTATTTGGCAAAGTGTCCTAACATTAAATGCCCCTATATGAAATTGGTGGCGTGGCTTTAGGAGACTATCGATGGTGGCTTTTTGGCTTCCATCGTTGTCAGTGCACACAGAGTGAAGAGGAAGTGAAGGGCCATTAAGTAGAGGAGTTGCATTAGTAGAAGGAAGGTAAGATAATAGAGATGAAGATGAAGACAAAGGTGAGTGAGGAATAGAGAGGTTTCGCGTGCTCTTCGGGTTGTGAGGGCGATTGTTACTTCCCGGCTGCCCACACCGTGGAAGTTGGTTGCGTGACCGCAGAGCCCAGAGGACAACTGCTTGAGGCCGGTCACACACGGCCTGTTTTTGTTTGTTGTTTTTTATTTGGTGTGTCTCAGTAGTGTATTTATCACTTCTGCCCTGTGACACGGCAGCAGAAAGCGCAGTCGTTGTTAATCCGGGCCCCGACCGACCCGGCATGATATTTTGTGATTTGTTTGAAGTCATAGGATTGGATTGGGTAACTGCTTTTAGTCTAACCGCTATCCAAACAACCTTTCTGGCATGGTAGGACCTGCAGGAACATAAGTTCCAGCCAGTATAGCTTGTTGGGTCATTGCAGTGTTCAAGCCCGATCACCACGTCAAGGTAGCAGCTGTCGGTCGGGAGTGCTCCTGCCAGATAACAAAGTGTTTTGAATGTCGCTTGGATCACAGGAATTTTCTCATCTAATGAAAGATCAGAATTCAGTATCGGTGGGTTAGTAATTATGATAAGGGGAGTTTCATTTTCAATGAGCTATTCACTTCTATTGGTTTGTCAAAGGAAAATCTACTTAACATGATGACCGTAGCTTTCTTTAGGCTTATTACTGCTGCTGCTACTACCATACCAACATATTATTGAATGGAGGAACTTCGAATATATTCCAGTTTTACCACAAATATGTAGCACTAAAGTATCCATAGTCAGATGAATTAATTACTATTGATAGCTATGATTTAAAAATGGTTTCTGTCATTTGATTTTTAAGTTAGGGTGTGGGCTACTGTACTAATTGTGAAACATCACACTTCGAGGTTAGACATCTATTTTTTCCATATATTTTACGTGTACTTGCAAACCAGTGCACTCACTGTTCGGTTTTCACTCGATGTAAGAGTGAGGTTCAGTCCCTCAGTGATACACCGATTTGTCCCCAGAATATCATTACTTTTCAGACTGCTTTAAAAGCATCGGTGAAGGCTGCTGTTGCCTTCTTCTAGACCAAAGTGGAGGAAAACTAGTTTCGGTAGCACTTTTTCTTACATGTATTGAATAGCACTACACTTCAGTCCTACACATTCAGTGCTCAACTAAACCCAGTGATTTAATTGTAAATAATGTATAAAGACAGTTCCGTAGTATAAAGGCGGGTAAAACTGTAATGTCGGACATATTTGGCATTCGCGGATTTCGTGGTTTTCTTGTTTGACAACCTGCAAAACTATACTTAAAAATAAACGTTATCACATTGAACAGACTTTTTTTCTCAAACTTAGCATTATGTAATCGAAATTAATTGAACCGATCGGGCTTTCACAAGAAGTACATAGTGATATTATTCCATCCATTCAAGAATTTGATGGAAAGATTTGGATTTTCCATAAAGCCCTGAGGTTAAGGGAAACGTTGTTAATTAAAAAAACTAATTATGTGACGGATGAAGAAAAATATGGAAACAACTTCCGAATAATGTGTAATTTGAAAGTACAATGCGTTATCATAAAAAAACTGTACAAATTTAGAGTGCATAGTTAAGCATCACGTCTTGTCTGGCTAACTCCAGTAACATCGGGTCGTCAAAGAATTTATTGATACTGACATCTTCATTCAAACCCTGTAGGTGGAAAAATCACAAAAAATAGCAGTTTAAGAAATGCCGAACCTGAAATGATGAGTATTGAATACGTGGAAAACTACGGTAACTAAGCATCTATTCATCCGAAACACTAACCTTTCTTCTACGAGTCTTAATCATAAACTCTCGTGCCAGATGAGTAGCAGGTTGTGGGACCAAAGGCTGTATCTGGATTGAACGGTCGAGTGGATCTCCTGGAACCATTTGCCAGTGATTGAAGACAAGCATACAGAACGCCTGACCTTGAGAATGTGTTCGGAGATCCGTTTCAAAACCGAACGAATCAATAACAGGGACGAATGCTCGAATAACATATAACGGAGATCCAGATATGGGTGCATCGTGTGTTACGTGCCCTCTGACAATGAAGAACATAATGTAAATTAGGTATTTTTAAAATATCGAGTTGTAGTGATAGGAACTGAGGACTAAGAAAAACAAGCAAGTATCTACAGGACACAGAACTAGTATAAAGCAGGCCTATCAGAAAAAAGTCCCAGAAACCATAAAGCGCATCAATCTCAACAGAGTAGACATAATTTCCATTTCGTCACACACAGTCAAGGGAAAACAATTCAAAAAAGGGCAAGTGCGACTACATTCATCCCCGTGGCAAACCAACATGAAATAATCACAAAACAGTGAACTTAAAGCTATACATATCTTAGATTCAATACTGTGACGTTACTTTCAATATCCAATAGTTTCTATACGTACTGTTTTTCAGTTGCGTTGACAGCACATTATAAAATACACCTTATCAGCCGCACTGTTCGAAGCATATTAGGAGATTAACTTACCGTCGACGAGCGAGCACAGTATAAACTGCTGAAACACAGTCTGCAGGTGCTTGTACCTCAACCAAGTAATAAGGCTCCATTAAACGTGGTGTAGCCATAAGAAAAGCAGAGTAAGCGACTCTACGGGCAGTTGGGATTATTTGTCCAGAACCTCGTTGATGTGCTTCACCGGAAATAAGGGCATCCAATATCTTGAATTTTACATTCCTGATTGGTTCGTCACAAAGTGGGCCTTCACGTGTACCCCATTGGAAACCCTTAACAATGTGAAATAAACACAAGCCATATAAAAAATACAATTTTGCGAGCATGATCATTCTTATACAAAACTGAGTCTATGTCAAAACGCACTTTTATTCCAGATTATGGATAAAGTAGGAAAGATTCGACAACTTTCACTATGTAAAGACAAGATTCGGTTAAGTATACGAAGGATGAAATTTATTATTTGTGAATTGCACAGTTCGACGCGGTTACTCCCTACGCTTTCATTTCGAAACCCTAAAAAATTCAGATCACAGGACGTGGTCTGCTAGATGACGGACAAAAGAAACAAGCGAAAACTATCATACACACTATAACTGGGACAAAAGCGCAATAAACAGACGTCTGGTGTTTGGATCGCTTTGATTGAACTAGTTAGTGTAAAGAGTTTCCAAATACGGTTGTAACCAACAGTATTTGCCATCAACTGAATTGCTCGTACTCTTAATATAACACTAAAATCTAAGCTATTGGAAAATTTTAAATTACGTATGATACAAATTTCCTGGCAAACTACGAAATGATATCACTGATTTTATCACGATAATAAATTATGTGGGTAACGTACCTGCACGATGTAGTCTTTAACATTAAACAGTAGGTTTTTATCGACTTCCGATGGCAGTGTGTCGTCCATTAATATATTTGGACCGGTGGTATCTGGCCCGAAAGCCCATATAGATCTGTTGGACAATTACAAGAAATAAAGAATTAACTTGGACCAAACGAAAGTTAAATATGCTCTAAGAATAGTGACAAATTTAGAATGGTCAGTACTGAGAAGGAACAAATCATAAGTCTATTTCCAATGAAAAACCGAGGGATAAATTCATATATCTCAACTGCATATATGATTACAGAGAGATTAAATATCCGTTTGATTTGACTTCATAAAAAAAGGAAATGATGACGCTCACTCAGCTAGTGGAGAGTAGTTCAAGTGCTTTTCAGTAGGTCACCAACAATAAAAATATAGAAATATTATCAATAAGCCATATAAAGGCGAAGGCAATATCAACTAAATAAATGAGATAGAGAACAGAAAACTTCATATTATTTACATTACCTGGATGCAAGTAAGTCCCAGTCATACTTTTTCTGAAAGAAGTCCCCAAGACGCTTTTTTGGCCAGCTAATATGAACGACTTTATTCTCAATATCTTCCGCCAGACCTTTATCCAATGGTTCAGCAATCATGGTCAACTTATTTCTGATGACATTTGAAAAGCAAATAAATAGACAACATTAAACAACTTGTGCATTTTGAGACCAGAAAAAATATGAAAATTCTGTTTGTAGAAGAGTAAGATGTTGGTGATTTACTAAATTATACAGATATCAAAGTAATACTCTTACACCTTAGCAACACAACAACATAAGAAAACATTTCTTTAAAAAAGAGTATCCTAACTCAATGCATGTTATAAGTGATTTCTAAAGGATGATAACGCCAAGTCACAAGTGAACGTGACTGTTGTCCCAAATATGAACATTTAAGGAATCAATCGAAATCATACAAAGTGGTTACCGCTTACACGATGTTATTTACAGACTTAGAAAAGCCCATGTGAAGTGATTAAGAATACAAGTCAGCGAAGAGGTCTTTTTGCATAAGTTCACTTCCTAGCTGGTTCAGTTATTTAGGGTTTATATATATACAGTGCACAGTGTATACACAAACTCTAAACGACTGTACAACTTTGAAGAGAAATTGTGAAAAAATACCTCGCTGAATTGTTGACTTTATTAGCCAAAAAAGTGATACTTGTCAACAACAGGTACACCAAAAAGATCAGAAAATGGAGCACAACTAAGAATCACATTTAATTGTGAAATTATCATTACTTTAAGACATGATGATTGACTTACTTCTTATTTGGTGTTTCCGCAAAACACTTCAGCGAGGAAGTTTCTACAACTGTCTCGCAAAAAGCAACGACAGGATCAGCAACCTTCACATCTGAAAAAAAAGGAAACGTCAGGAAAATGAACAAACAACAAACTTTGACAGTAAATTTAGAAGTAACCAGAATATAACAACGTTAAGTAGTAATAATGGTCGTTTTAGGAAAGTGTATATCAGTGTAAGAACTCTTTGTCAATATCACCTTTTTCTACCAAGGCAGACTGTATACATACGTACTCAGCAGGTATGTATTTGGAGTAAGTATGACACTGAATACCCCAGCGCAAACTTACATGGGTAGGACAAATTACCAATTTGTGTAGAAGGATGCCTGTCTCTATGATATATGATAAAAAAAAGATTCGTACTTCAGAATGCGTTGATACAGATATTTCTTTTCTAAGTGCAACACTTGCTGAGAACAGTTACCCCAACCGTTTCGCTAGTAAAAACATGAAGGAGAAATATTCAAACTAGTCACTAAATCGCATGAAAATAAAATACATTTTCATTGCGTTATCCAAGTTGATCAAGGTAACTAATTGTATGCAGTTGACAGTGGTGTATATTTCACTTGTCACTGGTCAATAAAACAAATATTTGGAAGTAATTGCCAAAGTTATAAAAACTCACCAATATCAGAGTAAAGTTTTCGCAAATCATGCATAACACAGTCCAAGTATAGTTCTCCTGTGCCACGTATTACACGTTCACCAGATTCTTCAACCTTAGTTGCCAATAGAGGATAACTCTTGTTGACCTGAAATGAGACAATATATGGCGTAATAGATATGTATGTATGCTGTACGGGAGACTGAAATAACCAGTAACTGACCTGGTTTACAACTTGAATACTAACTAATAAGTCACGATTTTATACCTATTGGGAAACGTTGTATTTATAGTAAATTATGCAAACGGATATTTTATTAGTGATTTGTATTAGTAACGTTAGTGTTCTCACTAAGATTTGCAGTACTAGTATGAGCATTTTGAAAGATGAAATATTATTAACCACATTCAATGAGCAGTCATACACGGGATATGGCTCCTAGAACACTGCATATGTTAGGATACTTACTTTTCTAAGACCATCTAATAATTTTGGCAGCTCAGAAGGATTGGCAGGTTCAACTGCGATCTTAACAACTGAGGCAGTGTTAAAATTGAGAGGTCTAAAGATCTGCGCACCATGAGCATTCATTGATGTCAATGTGGCTGTTTTTACGATAGGATGATCCACTCCTTCAATCAAAACCCAATTACCAGCGGGCACACGGTTAACCTCTAACCGATAACTGAAAATAGAAAAGGATACATTCACATAAGGATTAAAAAAAGAAAATTAGTTGATTATGAATTGTCAGAACACTCTTTAGCTAGGAAAAGAAGATAAAAATTCAAATGATTTAATTACATTACAAAATAGAAAATAATAAAAAAAACTCATGATGTTACTTTGGGAATTGGACCACTTTGTTGCACACTGAAGCCACATTACGACAGTATGAAGAGCACTCAATAAGATAATTTTTTGTACCTTGCATTGGTGAAAAAATGAGACCAGAAGTAACTGAGTAAATATTTTCCACAGTTTCAGGACTGCTTCGATAATATGTCCTTCTAATCGGAAAATGGTGAACCAAGTAGCTCTGAAAGTATGTGGAAACCACTCTATTCTTTTAACGCGTCAGTGGAAAAGACAGAAACTAATCGTGAAAGCAATCTTGCTTAATAAATTCAACATCTGCACTAAATCGTTATAAAGCAATAGCACAAAGCAATAAAGTTATTTTAATTGCATTATACAGTAAATTTATTTAGTAAAGTCACTGTTGTGCGGTATTATTTGTTGGTGAAATTTTGAAGAATAATTTATTGCTCACTATAATATCAAGGACTTGATAACACTGTGACTTTATTAAATAAATTTACTCTGTAGTGGGATTATACTCGACCTCAGTGCCCAGGTTTTATTCCGATATCAAAGTTATTTTAACTATTTTGTTCCTGAATGAAAGCTGTTAACATTTTGAGCCTGTGAATTGAAGACAGTTCGGTAAACTACGCTCCTGAAGAATATCAGATTTGCATATTCTACAATACCAAACACAAGTTGTGTGCACTGATATCATGACCTTTTGTGAAGTCAAGTTGCAAGAAACTTATCTAGTATTAACAGAGTAAACATTACAGTTGTGTTGCTGATATCTAATGGGAAGCAGAATTTAAAAATACTTACAGAGAAGTTACTAAAAATTAAGGCTTTATTTAATTATAATATTATGATATCAGAGTGAAAGTACTTACCGTGCAACAGACACCCATAAACGACCTACTGTAGCTGGTCGAGAATCTTCTTCGTCAGCTAGTGTATAATTTTCCCCTAAGACACGAACAGTTTGACCAGCGAATAATGTACCACACATGACACGTCCGAAAGCATGGAAAGAAATAGCTTCTTGATCTGGATACAACTTAGTAGTATGAACCATAACTTTTTCATAATCCATATTGCATTTGATCATAGCATTTGCGAGATCATTGTCTAATGCGCCAGTATACGTTGATTCCACTTTTGTCAGGGCTGATTTACGTGGACTTGGTATATGTTCCACACACATATGCACAAATCCTATAAAGAATGCAAATAATTTACATTCCATTGTCAAAGTCAATAACGTGAACTACAGGATCTTTCGGTAAATAAAAAACAAGCACAACAAAACAATGTCTATCGGCAAACGATAAATTTGATGAACTCCATTATGGATAAGATTTTATTTTGATAAATCACAGTGTTGTACAGTAATATTAATATTATACTTATATCAATAAAACTGATGAAGTTCAAAATATGATGACTGCTGGATATTTACACTTATGAATAATTGAAAAATAGATGCAACCGATTGAATAGTCTGTTCAGCTGTTTAAACACTATGGACGTCCATTTCAGATAGAAAAGCTTTTGCACACACTTATAAAGTTTATGCTAAGTCAACTGTTTTAACTATATCAAAGACTAGGCTCTAAGGTATTCAGTACTGATATTGAGGATTAAGATCTGTAGGCAAATATCATACGGTATAAAATTTCCAATCCAAGTGATTATACAGTGTGCTTTGACAATCCGTGAATTCGTTGACTGTTGGTTTGAAAAAAAGGTAGGGACGTGTAAACTGTGTGGTTGGGGCTACTGAGATGCTAAGAATTAACGACTACGTGCAGTTGGTGACATGACTAAAAACGGCAAAGATGCATTCATTCATAGTGATCTTGCTTATAAACTGAATCGTCATTATTCTCCATGAAATCACTGCCACACAATTCCGTTTACTGTAGTTCCACATTTTTTTCTATACCTTTAAGAAGTTTGGCAACTTGAACTGCTGAACTTTTGTGTAAAGTCCTACGTCCAGAATTCAGTTCAGCCTAAAAAGTCTTGAACATAAATATTAAAGGTTCAAAGAATCCAACATACAGACAACAAAGTGAAGTAAAGCCATACAAGGGTAGTTACTTTTCTTCTTCTCAATTAGTTCATTTAACATGACATGACTAAATTACTCATAATAAAAATATAAACATTGGTGCAACTGATCGACAACACAACACGGTTATTTACCGATACTATGAGCTAATAAAATGCAACTATAAGATTTTTTTCGGACGTACAATTTATACTCTTACATAGTAATGAAAAACAACCATTATAATGAAAGCGAGAGATTTTCGAAAAGGTACGCTGTAATAGAAATCAGTGTTAACACACTTTCTAACTTACCCGAGAAATCACCAAAGAACCGTTTGAAAATCAAACGTAGAAGAGGGCGTATATTCATCTTCATCTCAGATTTTGTCAAATAGATACCCAATTCTGTAGACAGTGACGGTAAATGAGTGTCAACGTCGCCAACAGTTTGGGCGAAAATTTTGTATAAAGGCTCAAGAATGAAATCCACAAACGTTCTTTGAGAACTTGGGGTGGGTGGGCGCTTTTGAAACCGACGTCTGCAAATAAGTAAAATGAAAACTCGAATATCTAAGATCCATGGCAAAAAACTATCACAACTCTAGAAAACTGGTGCATATTTTTCTTTTGTGCGTTATTTGCTTATTTTTTTTTGCGTTCACCATATTTCTTTGAATTATGTCAATCTTTAGATAACTTTTCATTAATTCATACCGTGTGCATGAATGTAATAGAAAAATATGTTTTTACGTTTTGATATCTAAAGATTTACAGAGTGCATAGTGCATTCTAATTACGAGGAAAATTATCCGGAGAGCAGGAGGATTACCTTCGGTATTGGTGAATTTATCGTTCTACACAGTTAAACGGTAGAATTTTTCTAATCACAATACTTCATGATTAAACTATTCAGTACACACATTGGCCTCTGGTCTTTGTATCACTGGTATGCCTTGTTGAGCTTTACTTCAATTTAAGAGCGTGACTTTGCAAAAAAAGATTATTGTTTTTTAAATGTCACAATAATTTTATACAACTACCGCTTTACCTTTTTAGAACCCATAATATTGGAACTTGTTTAAAAATTGTCAACTACAGCAGTGATTCAGGACAGTGTGATAATACAATGCGACGAATAACAAACATAAAGTACTAGTAACTGAATCAATGAGTAAATTCTTATGCCCAACCCATCTAGATCAGGCAGACAAATCAATGCCACATAAAAATGAACTCAGAAAGTAGTAGTAAATGATCAGCCCAAAAATTTACTCTACATGAAAAGTCACAGTGAATTGTAGATCCCTACATAAAATGACGTAAATCCGAAGACGATACTGTAAAGACACAATAAATGATAAAATAAAACGAAATGAAATCTTACGTTTTAGAATTATAGTATATATCACCCCATAAACGTTTAGCAAACTCTTTGTAATCCATCCCATTAACAAATGTATCCATATAGATTTTTGCAAATGATTCCAAAGTAAAGCAAAAACGGTAATATGTACTCGCAAAACACACATTTCCTAATAACGGGCTGACAGTAGATTGAGTGTCATCTGTAGTACCTGCATAAAATGTACATGCACATAAAAAAATAAAATGAAAAAGTGTGATTCAAAACTACAAAGTTATTCAAAAAGTCAAATCACTAAACAGATGTTTACTATCGTATACCAATGTATCAGAATTGAAAACGCAATCTTAGCCGGAAAACAACATCAAGTTACTTTAAAATATTAGAACTATTACACAGACAGACAGTACATGAGATCAATTTTCGAAAAATTCCTAGCCAAAATATCATAGTTATAACCAAGTGATTTGACTAACAACTTTGTATGAATGTAGTGTATTTGAAGTCTATTTTACCAATTAATGGTCTAAACAGTGACGTAGCATGATTAGCTATCTCCACCTACACTCTCTCTCCAGTCGGACCGAATGACAGCGTTTACGTAAAGATCACAAATCCTGATGGTCAGAATGTGCGTGTGAAATGAAGTCAGCAGCTGAATCTGGCAACAGCCGAAAGCTGTTCCAGCTCATCCGAGCCACCTGCGGCAAGAAACAGGGTATCAGCTTGACAGCCTGCGAGGCAGAGAGTACGCCAGTTACGAGTTTCGAAAGACTCCTGTAACGCTGGGCTGAGCACTTTGAGGAGCAGTTTGTCTCGCCACCAGCTCCAGCATCCACCGTTATCAGATTTCGTTCAGGCCGTAGATGTATTGATCGTGTGTTCACCCCTCGTCAGTTGTTGGAACACCGTCGCACGTATTGCAGACCAACAGTCGTTTTGTTTCTTGATATTAGGGCTGCCTTTCACTCGTTGGATAGAACTGTTCTTCGGAACTGTCTGATAGAGAAGGGTGTAACTAAGAGGTTTGTTAACATCATGAAAGCTCTATACAGAAATACCTGAGGTAGAGTGGGGGTATACAACCATCTGTCTTCACTTTTTCCAACCAACAGTGGGGTTAGACAAGGTTACACGATCCCTTCATTTATCTTCAACTTTGGTATCGATGGCATTCTGGAGTCAGCTTTGAAGGACGTGCGTGGTGACGGTGTAGATCTGCTTCCTGGAGAAAGACTTTAAGACTTCGAGTATGCAGACGATATCGCCTTACTGTGCGATAGCATGCAGGCTGCCTGAATTGCACTAAATCAGTCGGCGATCAGTGTCTATTACTATGGTATGTGCTTTGCACACTCTAAATGCAAAGTACTATTACAAGATTGGCAGGGGCCTGTACCGGCACTCACTCTTGCAGGTGAACCGCTTAAAGTTTTCGATGTTTGTGTATGCAGGTATTTGTGTGGGTGCAGGTAGAGGGGTAACGAATGAGATTTCTAAATATATCATGAAAGCTAGCGTGGCACGCGTTAGCTTGTGTCACCTCTGTTGCCGCCACGACGTTAGCCTGGCTGTCAAAAGTCGGGTTTACAATGCTTCGGTGCGGACTGTCTTGCTCTACTCCTGTGAAACCTGGCCTCTCCGAGCTGAGGATGTGAGGCGGCTCTACGTATTCCACCATCACCGTCTCAGTAGAATCGCCTGTGTTCCATGATGTCATCGTGTGAGTAATTCTGAAGTCCAGCGGCGTGTGTTTGAACACAGTGGAGATCACCAATTGTTGAGTGTCGTCATCTGGAAACACCGGCTTCGGTGGTTTGGACATGTGCTACGAATGTCATCCCAGAGGCTTCCGTACCGGTCTCCGTTTGCTGGCCCTGGGACGGGATGGAAAAAGCGGAAAGGTTGTCAGTCCATGACGTGGCGTCGTGGGATGAAGGATTTTTGTGGTAGATTGGTATCGGTTGGTGCGTCATGACTCCCTAGTTGGGGATCGAGAGACACCTAGAATCAGTGACTCGAAACGTTATCGGCTATGGCCAGGAATCGCAATCAATGGCGAACGTGCAGCAATTTTCTTCTTTCTTCCCTTTCTGACAAATAATCCGACGAATGCTGTTTGGTCTTGTTAAATATAACTGCTTTCTTCCCAGATGAAGTCGTTTATTCATTCTCTACCTTTATTTCATAGTTTTATCATTACTGCGTGGTGCCATATTGTACAAGTTCTGTGTGAATAATATAATATACTGTTGGCTGGCTCAGTTTACAGAGTGGTTGACATTCAGTCCCATTTTTATACTGCAAACTGAACCACAAAAAGTACAGTTTTTAATAGAAACACACAAAACTACAATTTCTTTTTCAGTAATTTTGAGTCAAGAGGAAGATTTGAAAATAGAAACCGCAAGAAAACTGTCAGATGGTTTATGCTCCTTTTAGATGTGGTGGGCCAATTGAAGTTAATTAAAACCAATTTTAAATTTTCTCACATTAATTGAATGATATCCACCGCTGTGATATTTTAATATTAAAACAAAAAAACCTGCGATTAGATTTTTTTTAAAGATATCTGGCTTACCTGCGCCTTCAAAGTAGGTTAAAAGTATTGAATTCACCTCATCAATTATATGCTTAATTTTGTAGTAGGCATCCATTGGGGGTAATTTCAATTCAATTATAAGACGATCTATCTTATTGATGCATAGTGTCACTGGTAAACGCTCTTGCAACGCGTGCTTCAGAATACGTTCAGTGTTCAAAAGTATACCTTCAGTGACATCAACCATTAAACAAATTCCATCAACTAGTCGAAAAGCAGCTGTTACTTCGTCGGAGAAATTCACGTGACCTAAAATTAAGAGTGGATTTTGCACAACAGTGAAATTTAGCCTCTCCCATAAGATAAGAAAAGTCACTTACGACATAAATAAAAAGAATTAATAAAGTTATTTTGAACTTTATCTGTTGAAACTGTCAGTTTAATTTTGTGGTAATATAGTTCAAGTGTTACTAATTTTCAAGAAAAGCCTTTGAATCTTTATAAATCTACAGATCTTTTCAAAACCTCCAGTTCGAGATATTAATTACCCACTGTTTATTATTCCTGCCCAACTCTACGTGACAACTGAACTCCATTATGTATAATTTAGTTTAGGGAAGAAAACTGCATAAAGTGAATGAGAATGCTATCTCATTTAACCTTCTTAAGCGAGTTATTTTCAGGAGGGAAGAATCACGAACAGTAAAATACATGTTTGACATTTCTTTCGATAGTTTAGCGACAAAATGATAACCTAACTGTCCTGCGATCGACACTCCACGCATTTATGAATGAGCACTATTAACAAAACAGTTAACTTCCATTAGCTTTTCCAGCTTAACACTAGTTAAATCCCTGAAACTTGAAAATAACTATTCACGGAACTATTGAGAACGATACTGGAAATCATGAATATTTTCGGGTGAATGAATAGTGGAATTATCACTATATCACTACAGTATTTTATTATTTTAATGAGATTCCACAGTGGGAAACAAGAGTGAAAGATATTCCAACCAACCTGGAGTATCCAGAATGTTAAATAGGTACGACTTCTCATGTAAGTTACCAAGCACCATGGTAACTGGAGTAGATTTTATGCTTAATCCTCTTTCCACTTCCATGTGTAGAAAGTCGGTGTACCTCAGCTGCAAGATGAAATTAGATATTGTCACGTAAATATATAGCATTAATACTTTACTGACAATACTGAAAAGGAAAGTTAGAGATAATACTGAAGTAATACTAAATATTAACATATGCAATATTTGAATGTTTAACCGACCTAATAATCAGTGGTTACACCGTTCAAAATATAAACGATCAACTTTAAACTGAATAACCATAAACTAACCTCGGACTTTAGAAATAAGACACGACTAAAAACTCAGTACTGACATCAATACAAAAGATAAGTTATCTGAAGTAAAAACCGAGTAAGAATCCAGTGTATCTTATATATATATATATATATATATATATATATATATGTGCTAGTCATCAGTTTTTGCAATATTTCACATTTTATTGCCTCTTAAATATAGGTTTCACATTTTCGTATACAGTCATGGCTCAGAATAGTTTAAATTTGTGGGCACCATGTGTTCACAAAGGTGAAAAATTACGTGTTCAACCCAAATATTCCTGAAATTGACATTCACACAGTAGCAACTGTTCATCTCTTACGGTATCTTCATTCCTAATGTTACCACTGAGAATTTATCCAAACACTGCCAGGAAGTTAGAAAAAAACTGAAAAATTAGGAAGCACTAATTAGATAACACCTTAGTAAAGAAACAATTTAAACACCACGTCTTCAACTTGGAAACACAATCATGGTGAGTAAATTGGAAAAAAAGAACTGGTCTGCCTAGACTTCACTTTCCATTGTGAGACGGAATCATCAAGGGCTGAAAATGTCAAGATGTTAGATACAGATTTTTCGAAAGAATACTAATTAAGCAATACAAAAAAGAAGTCATTAAAGTTGGGTTGTGAGCATTAGTTACTACCTCACTCCAGACATTACTTCGGCTAGAAAAGCAGCATATGGCAGATAGAAGTAAACTTTCAGCAGTGGTAATGAATAATGTAGAAAATATTGGATCGTGTAATGGGGGACCTATACTATATTTTACAAAACATCTTAACGGAGCATATAACTTCACGTACCATCTTCAACTAAACAGCAGAAGTACTACACACCTATGCTCTTTCATTTTCACTTTTCTTTGGTGTTCCTCTTGTCTTAACGTGGTAACGTGATTCATGACATAGTAATATCAGCTCTTACTGTGATAATACGTACCTAGCTGTTTATTTACTTCCTCACTGACATCACTATATTTGTTTCTTTACTTGCCCTATCGATCGTTTATCCTCTAGATGCAAATTTGTGTTTGGTGCCAAGGTAAGAGAAATCTCGACAGGACCATGGAATTCCTGACAGTGATTTACTGCAATACATGCTTGTCTGAATAAAACAGAACCCGAATGTATGTCTTAATTTCGATTATCGTCTATATTGCTTCAATGTTTACGCACAGACAAACGATATACAAATAGCAAATTAATTAAGGCCAATTAATAATAGCATACTTCTATTTACAAGTTTTTGACTTGACAATAGGAATCTGGTGTTCTCAAGTGAGTACTTGAATTCAGCAAACGATTAATACCATACAAATTTACCTGGATTTATTAACAAATGAAATGCACTTTACCAAACGACACATAAATAAATCGACAACCAAAAAATGCTTACATTTTTGTCTTCTTTTGCTTCAATATCAGGATGAGTAACCTCTATCAAGCAATCTACTAAGGACGTCTATAATAGGTCATGCTAAGTGAGATTCTATACATACCTTGCCATGATGAAGATGTCCACAAAGAGCTACATTACGAATTAGGTCAGGACAATCCATAAGATCAGCCAGAAATTCCGGATCGTAAGTAGTTGCCGGGATTGAAGCTTCAGAATAAGCAAACTTTTTACGCTGAATAGGTTCTATAAGAGGTTGTGTTAACGGCTGGGCATCCTCCTCTTGTACCAAAGTTTCAACTTCAGGACCGTAAACTTCTAATGCACTTGGGTAGTATTTTTTATCTTCATGAAGAACAACCTAATACCAAAGGGATAAAGGAAGAGTTTATGTGCATAAGATTTGAGCAGTTATATGCTGGATAAACTGTTCGTTGATGCTACAGCGACAACAACAAAAAATGGAGTAACGTAACCAGCTGTTTTCAAAAACGCTTTTTTTAAAAAGTAGCTTCTTTTAAGAATAGCTATTTAGAAAGCGTTACATACGACAGCCGCCAGGCTTTGTCTACTGATATATAATTAAATGAAGGCCAATAAAGTTTATATATATATATATATATATATATATATATATATATATATATATAGAATTTTATAATTGTATTTGACCAATAATATGAAATGTAAAATGATAACTCTCTTTTACCAATACCTAGATAAAATTGTTATTTGTTTAATAGCATCAACAAACTTCTGGGTGACCAACTACCAACTACTGGGTTTTCTGTTCAAGCTAGTGCCCCAGATTACTTAATAATTGCACGTTATTGGAAGCTAAAATGTTTACACATTCCAGACCGCCAGTCTGAACCAACCTAACGATCATTACAGTATGATAAGGCTTGCTTGATCTTAGCCTGAGAGATTCAACATTTTTGAAATAAAGTGTGACGAATATTTCTTGGGCAAATAGTGCTTACATAAGATAATTCATTTTAGATGATAATGCATTTGGTTCTGTAAAGCAAATGTGTTGGGAAATGATTAAGGTAGGAATTCGCAAGTACTATCATCTTGTAACACCATATTTAATAGTTTGGATGTCAACATCTCAACTAATTACTATCGAGTAAAATATATCTTTTTAATTTATATTTGCTAATCATATACAGCAGTCACCATATGTACCCTCATGAAATGAACTACTTCGATGTACCATTGGTTGTTATCTTGCATCTCTCAAGTTGGGCTCACAAAAAAACACGACTTGGTGCTTTAAGACAATGTCAAATAGCTCGTCAGCTATTATGCGAAGGCTGTCTTGATAACTGTACAATAAAACAAAATTAAGAAACAGTTGTGTGAATGTGCTTCGCCAAATCGCCTTCGTGATCACTTTTTCTTTTTTTTTGTTTAACAATGTGCTCAAGTACTAATTTTGCACTTAAAATGAATGGTACAACTCAGTAACAACGCGTATATATATATATAATATATATATATATATATATATATATAAAAACTAACTTTCGAGGGCTAAATATATTGCCTGACTGTTCAAACCAAGGTATGCAGCCAGGTATCATGTAAAGACCAAAGATAAACGACAAACAAGGTTGAGTAAAATGAATTTACAGATCATTCTTATCTTTCAGATGCTTAGGCCTCTGCTTCATTTTCAAAGACAGTTCCAACATTTGTTGATGATCCTCTTCTTTTATATACCCTACAAATACATCACTAATCTATGGATCCATGAGAGCACTTCATGAGAATGTCAACCTATAAACAAATTATTGAAATGATAATGTATGCCTAAGACTCATAAATACAGTTCCATGAAAAATCAGTTTCCAGTAGTTATAGAATGTAAGAATGAACACTACTAATTTTAAAAGTTATACATAAGATTGAATCAGTTGTAACTCAACTTACGGCCAAGCTTTCTTCCTGTATTTCACCATTCATTTCTTCATGATCAACATTATTCTCTATGTCTTCATCTTCAGCACTCTCCAAAAAACCCTCCCCTTCTTCATCTGATAAAAGATCCGGTCCAATATAATTTCCAAACTCATCATATAAATCAGTATCCATTTTTAACTTAAAAAGATTTTAAATGTCACTATTAAAAGTGAAGGACACTCAGTACGAAATAAGCAAATGCAGCTGAAAAGAGGATGAAAAACAGGGAACAACTATTACCATAATGGAGTCAAATTTCTGAAATAAAGAAAATTAAAGACGCTCTTAGTTAGTAGTTAAAATAACGATCTCAACCAATCACTGATTAGTATGCCATTTAAAAGTGCATGAGTGGCTGAAACTCAGTTACTCAAGACAAATCCTGAGATATTGTACTATGAGTCGTTATTACTGTGGGGATTGACGATACTATCCAGTAGTAGACTACGGGTCCAACTTACGGCATAATGGGCGAAAGCCGAGTGCTTGGGTTGATAATAGTCCTAATGAAACATTCACTATCTTGCATTAAGATGAACACGATACCCTTAAGGATTATAATGAGATAACTACGAGTCCTGAACTGGGAGATATCAAATGTTTCATTGGCATAAGGCTTCCCAGTTTTAGTCAACGAGTCCCAGGTTCGCGCTCCACTTCATCTACCTCAGCCCGGTTGAGTAATATCACCAACTTTTGTGCGATAAGTGAAGCTCAGAGCCTGTTACGTCAAAAATCCGTCCCTGATAACTGAGTTCTAATCAAGGAAAATTAAACACCTAGGAAAAGAAAACCAAAAGGTCAGTGTATCATGAAACTTAAAATCTTAAGATGAGCAAAATTATGTCCCTGTCGAGAAATAAAGAATAGATGAGTGCCAACAATCATGGAGGTACCTAGTAATTCAGGTAGTCAAGATACAGAGAAACCAAATAGTCCCAACATACTTTACTTGCCTAGCTCACTGAGGTACATATCGATTCAAATGAAACCGTGGTTTTTGAACGCTATGTAGAACACTTTCGGGAGATTAGGAGTATTTACCAATGTTGTTTACAACTGCAGTTCACCTCTCTCTAGGTTACACGGAATCAATTTTTAATGAATATGAGAGTTGATGCATCTTAAGTGTCTGAGGCTGTAGTAGATGCAGCGAAATTCGAAATCGATTAGCCAAAAGTGAAATACCCACGCCAGTAAGCAGCACTCTTATCCTCATGAATAATGAATTAGGGTATTAAGGCATAACCATTTCCTTACATTAAAAGCAAGGACTGATAGTTGGGAATAGGGGCTTCACAGATCTAAACTACAGTACTTATACTCTCGAAAATGTATTCATTTGACTATTTATCACAAGATTGTTAGGTACATCTTAAGACTGGTGTTTATTCGTGATTAGGTGATGCAAATGAATTATCAGGATATTTGATTTGAAAACATGAAAAGTAAGTCCATGTAGTAAAGGCGAATCAAGCACAGGTACATCCACGAGGACGTATCCCATGTTCACTTTATAAAGATACATGCAATTCACATAATACAAGACATAACCCATTCTCATTTCAAAAGGTGCATGCAAGTATACTCTAACCTCAAAACCCAGATTTCACACTGATCTATTTGCCCTTCCAAAGTTTATTATTATAAGTGCTCTAAACTTGAACGACTGTGCTATTCGGCTTCCCCATACGAAACACAAAATTATATGGGACTAAGTGACTCAGAATACAGCCTGAAGGTCCTGAAGAAAGTAATTATCAGATATTAAAATACCTATGAAAGTTAGCATCACTATTATCTAACCAGGAAGTTCAACCTTTGATGTCAGGTGGAAAATAACACAATTTTTATGCAGAAAGTGTAAATACATCAACATTCGAATCACATTTAAGGTGGAATACATGATGTATGCATGACTGTTGATGCACAGCACACACAGATTTCATTGACACAGAGCTCATTATCTAAAAAGACATTGCGTAAAACTACTAAGTGAAAACTGCTACTCTTGTGGCTACAAACACTACATGCATCTTACGTGCGGATGTCTCAATGCTGCCAGAGTAGAGTAAATTTTATATTTGCGCAAATTGGACGTTGACGTTTATACAAACAACAACAAACGAAACTAACTTAGTGAAAGAAATTGTCACATGCTGATTGAAATGCTCTTCTAAGTTTGTTGCTTGCAAATTGAATTCGTTATATGCAAATAAATCGATAAAATTAACAGCTGTTTCACCACTTTACCTAAAAATTATATTATCACTAGGACGTTAAGTGATATCGAGATTCGGATTTCAGTTGACGATGTAGGGAGTGAAGCTCACGGTAGTTTCCTTGCCCATTTATCTTTCTCAGCAGTCTATTTAATGCTCACTTTTAGTAGAAAAAGGCTGTGACAACCACCTCAGCTTCATCTTCAGTTATCATTTTAATTACCTTTACCACCAGAAGTGAAAAGAAACTTTGCTGTCAGTTAGTGTTTGGAGGGTCAGCAGAGTTTTAGCTACATTATGCTCCTTTCATAGTATGCTTTCATCCCTTATATGAGTGCTTCGTTGAACAGATGCAAGTTTAGTGTGTTTCCTTAATATTAGGGCTGTTTTTCTTCTTAATCAGAGACTGAAAAACGAAGGTCAGAATGTTGGTTAAATCACTGCACACCTCAGCTCCACGCGCAAAAACTGGAATTGTAGTCTATTATTATTTCCAAGGCTCTCTGACACTTTTGGGAGTGATTAGAAGAAACACTATCTGACGACAACTTATACCGAATGCCATTGTGAACCTGCTTATCCCTGCTCTTGACCAGCTCTGATAAAATATCTACGCGGTGTGATTCTCAGAACGTTTGCCGAAGTCCGCAACTGGCTTCCTCTGATAAAAAGAACGTAAGCTTCTTGAGACCTTTTCAAGAGCGCTCAAAACGCTCTTGACTGAAAGTTCAGTGCTAACTCACAACAGTCTCACTTGTCCTGGAGGGCAGAAAACCAAAGTAAAAGCCATCGTAGTTACCTCGTCAGAAGAACAGACCATAATGCCGTAGACTTAGGATCCTGTTTGAAGTCTTTCCACGCAAATTTAACTTCAGACACCTCTATTTATGTGATCTATGGTCTGAGAGGTCGCAGTGTGACTGATGGTAAGCATGTTCATATATGGTGGGATGACTAAGACTAAATGGGCATATAAGTCCTGTCAAAGGAGCGATAGCCGGTGACTGCATCCATTAAGCGTATCACCCAACGTCTGCCTCGGACTGAAGAATATAAGTGTAACAGACTAAACACGACTTATGGATTGCTTACACCAGGCCAGCTAATTCTGCCGTTCCGATAAGTTCCTTTCTCATACTAGAAAAGAGACATTGACTGGTAATAAGTAGTGAAGTTGTATTGTGTGTCAAATGTGAGTGGGTAATAATCATTTCTGACAAAATATTATGTACAAGCTCTAGTGGAACAGAAGCCTTTTTGCTCAACGCGCGCTATCAGCCGACTGAATTGTGAATCATCCTAGTTAACTGCATAGTTTCTGTACCGGTAAGCTAAAGTATGTTTGTAATAAACCGTCTGCCACTATGTTTCAAGGTACATTCTGAGTTTTCATTTTAATTACCCCCTTATTTAGTACAGTAAAAGATATTCCTTGACAGTCGCTAAAGAATTGCACTTCTCTATGGAGTACTTGATTGAACCAACTGATAAATTTCTTTGACATTCACGGTATCACGTCTTGAAACAATGCATGTGGCAAAGATTCTTCCACGTTACTGTTTCTGGTGGACGAAAAAGTCTCTGAAAAGGTGCTGCTGCATGTAAATAAGCAACCAGAAACCTTCTGTGGCACTCCGAAAAGAAACTTTGAAGTGTATCGAAATATTTTGGCTGCGATTTTGAAAAGAGAGACTAGATATTTACCATAGTTTGCAATAGGTAGCACTGTGGGTGACACCACTTCTAAGTGATCGATAATGTGTTCACCACAGTCCTAGACGAGTTAATTCGCGTGCTGAATGGCCTAGTTCTGCCGTTCATGAGACGTGAACTGGAAGACGCTTCAAGACAGTATATCCCGTTGAGTTTACAGATATACCTTCCGCGTACTTAAAACTGATGCAGCAATTTCTCGCATACTTTTCTCCAACTTTTCGACCATATTCAGTAAACTTGCAGATAATAACAAAATTTTCAAACTGGAAAAAGCTGTGTGCAAGTGCAACATCTCCAGTTCGCACCTTAGGATGGGGTGCGACTTATATATTTTCGTGGTCTAATATAGAACAGAATAGCTATCATCATGAAACATCATTTTTGATGTTCAAAAGATCGACTGAATTTATGGATAAATCACATGGAGTACTGTACATCACACAATGTTAATCGTAGGAAATAATAATCCATTCGTTCTACCTTTTTGTATTCACGTTGCCATAATTATTATATGCCAATTGGTGTCATTCATCCCCATCTGATTGACAGATTCAAAGCTGAGGAGTTCAGTAGAATAGTATGGGGGTTTATTCTACATGAAATCATGAGAACCATTACTACCAAAATAACAACAGTAATAACAGTGACAATCATAGTAATTAACCTCAATTGTCTTGATTCCACGCTGAAAACTGCTACAATAACTACTAAAGGATGTTAAGTAATACTAAATATAACCAAATAGTTAGGTGGGATATACATCTAAAATTACAGTATGATCCCGGAAACAAATAATTTAGTTAAATTATCTAGAAGGAACAATACTAAAATCTGAGGTTGCAAAATTATGCAACCGAAATGAAAGTCAAAGTGAGTGTATGTGGGAAGCTGGCTAACATGGACACCAAATAAAACACAATAACCCCCAAGATACTAAGTGGAGGTAAACTGGTATTAACTTCGACGAATAAAGTGTGGCATCTAAAGGAATAGATGTAAGATGTCAGTCACCTATTGTTATCCAATATCCCTCAAGCCTAAAGAAAGAACTAGGTCAATGGAAGATTGTCCTTTACCACAGTGTAACCACCGTATTAAAAATGGATTAAAGATTTCTACAGTTTCAGCACATATATGATGGAAAAATGGTGTGACACGGAATAATCTATCTTAATCAAGAATCGGCTTAATTAAACGACTAAAGAGTACTTTGTTTGTAAGACAAAGAATCGTAAATGGCTCACGGCATTCAAAGTAAATAACATTCGTCAGAATGCCGAAAGATTCTGTTAGCTGATAACAGAGGTGATATTCGGTGACAACATCGAACCAACGAGAAACAAAACCTAATTCGCGATGGGATTACTTACACCAGGCCGAATATGTAGAGATAAAAAAAACCTAGCAATGAGTTCCATGACTGTAGAATAGGAATAAATACTGATATCACCGTGATTCTGTGAATCTGCCCCAAACTTCTGGGTGAAATTCTGCTGGTTTTCAATATAAACGGCCGTTCACTTGACATTACTGTGATGGGGCTATAGAACTGTATAACCTAGTCGTCAAATATGTTATTACGGAGTGCTATTGATTTTGTTGGTTGCTGTCTCTCTTGAATCAAGTGCACATGACATGTGATACTATACCAACAAAATAGATACAGAAATCAGATTTAATTGACACAGTCTCCGCAAAATTAACAATCGCTATTCTTTTAACAATCTAGAGTGGAGCACCACATACCCACCAACAGAAATTTAGAACTATAAGTATATTATCAACATCTCATTGACTGTATCAGTCACTGACTACACTACTAACAACAGTAGTTAGTTCCCCCTGACACCCCCACTTTCTGAAAGATTTTAAGTTTGGAGCCACTAGAAGATATTTTTAGGTCAGTGCTCCCTGTGTCTGTGGTAAGTCCTTCCAATCCATTGCCCAGTTAGGCTTACTGGGTTTATCGGCAATCCATTTGAATGGCCTCTTTTGTGGGTGTATCAGGCTTTGAGTGTTTTGCGGCGCACATGTTTGAGAGTATTACATCCTACAAGTACTTGAATATTCTGTTTGAATCAGTCTTATCGAAAATGTAAGATTTTAGGAATTGCACGTGTGATTCATCATTTCGATTATCTTCATACCTTTAACAGATATATTTAGCTCAAGGAAATGTTAAACATGTCCCCAAAAGTAGCTAAGATTGTTATTTACTGTTCCTAGGTTCAGGTGACTATTCGATCTCAGTTGGTTTTTTAGCTGGTCGTTTGTATTGCAAGTGGCGACTGGATTTTTTAACTGATATATAGGATATTCATGGACATATGAGTGCGTCTAACAAGAACATTGTAAACTGCGGATTCTGATGCTGACTTCGTGAAGGTTTTTGCCTCAAATAAAGAACTGGTGAGTGGGTTTTATGGCTGAATATTTTCCGTCATAGGGAAAGTCCAGTGGCCGACGTTCAGAGTCATGTAGAAAAAACAAGTACGGTTTCTAAGATTGAATGGAGATAGGGGACCAGGGCAATGGGCTCAGTACGGCCTTCAGCCGTTGGTGGATGGGTTCTGGAGAACAATTTTCTTAGGGAAGCAGATGTCTCCAAAAGGCTGCAGGCTGGGGGATAAGCATCCGAATTTTGTGATTCATATTTCGATGAAAACGAGCGTGACTGCTTTGGTACAAAAGTTTTCTGAGGAAACTATTTCAGTACAATGAGTGTGTGGGGATGTTACGAAACCCTGAGATTCGGGCAATTATATGGCATATAACTATTTTGTAGCTTCCCTTTCTGTCATATATTCCCGCTGTTCAATTGACTCAAGGTGGGGGTAGTCTGCTTTGTCAGAGTCACCGAACGACATTGCTCGGAACAATGAATGTATTACTTAAGCAGCAGAATGCTCAAATATGCTCTCCATGCAATAACTGTTTTGTATGCCAAGTATTCCTCCTGCACATCTCCACTATTAGCATTGAAGCAATTTCTTTGCAGCCTAGTGACAGTCTGTATCCATCATAGTTTTCTTATTTCGATTAGCTGATTTTTCATCGAAAAGACAAGTAGTACGATAGGTGTTTGAATTCGTGCTATTGAGTGCCTGTGTTTTATTTTGGTTGTAAGAATTCGATGAAATCTATAGATACAAGCAAAAACA